AGACCCCAAACACCAGCACTGCAACCACAGTGACTGTCCTGTTAAAAGAAGGATTAATATGAAGCGAGAGGACCCAGAACGGCATAAAAGGAAGCCAAGTGGGGCGCCTGGGTGGCTCAGTAGGTTAAAGCCTCTGCCTTCAGCTCAGGTCATGATCTCAGGGTCCTGGGATCCCCCCGCATCGGGCTCTCTGCTCAGCGGGGAGCCTGCTTCCCTTCCTCTCTCTGCCTGCCTCTCTGTCTACTTGAGATCTCTGTCAAATAAATAAATAAAATCTTAAAAAAAAAAAAAAAAAGGAAGCCAAGATCTCAACGCTACCCATAACACCAGCCAGTAACACCAGCCGGTAAATCCATCCAATTCACTTCTCTTATTCTAATTCCACCCTCTGATGCAAAGACAGCCTTCCAGTTATAAAGGCAGCTTCCTCTGCGGCGCTGTGGCTTCCCTGCGCAGAAAGAAGACATGTCACCACCCAGCAAGAACACTCCGCTCCGCTGGAGACATAGAATTCTCATGGTAAATACACCAGATACCAAATTTTTCTTAGAAGTCTGGTTAATGACTTCACTCTATGCAACTGCATCAACTCCAAGGACAAAGATAAAACAAACTTTCTGAACCTGAGAAGCTTTGGCCCAGTTTCAAAGCATCGTGACCACACCGGGCCAGCTAAGGCAGTAGCCAGGTGGCCTCAGGCTTCAGGGACCGCATTGGCAGACCACCATGCCCCTTCCCTTCCTTCTAACTAGAAAACACCCATGGTGGGGCCATGATAGAATGGAATGCTTTCACACCTACTTAGCCCATCAGGAAATCCTTTACCTTCAGCAGCCAATAAGTAGAATATTTCCTCCCTCTTTGAGCCTCTTACTACCTGCAAACAATATGCCAGGCAATTTTTAAAAGTGGTGATTTTCAACTTCCAGGCTTAAGGGTTTTTTTGTTTTGTTTTTGTCAGAGAGAGAAAGGAGAGCACGCAGAGAGAGGAGTAGACTCCCCACCCAACAGGGAGCCCGATGTAGGACTCGATCCCAGGACCCGATCCCAGGACCCTGAGATCATGACCTGAGCCAAAGACAGACAATTAACTGACTGAGCCGGCCAGGCAACTCAACTTTTGGGTTTTTCATTTGACCTTCCTCACCATAAGTGCATTTATAATTGCCTTGTTCGTCTCTGAATGACCTTACTAAAAATTATCCACATATTTAGGACAATCTGATCAGAGTACTGCCAAGTACAGCCCACCTGGTTTTCTCACAGCAAGGCAGCCAGCACTGTACAGAAGAGTGAACCACGCCCCTGCCCTGGGGCTCTGCCAGACTGTGTTCTGATGTGAATGATGCCTGCTCATCTGTCCACACGGCTGTGGCCACTCATTCTGCATCCTCTGATGCAGTATACAATTTGGACACATAATGGGTTGGCACAAGGGATGGTGCTGAGGGGCCATAAAGGTGAAGACCACAACATCGGATTAAAGAAAGAGATCGTATGCCCGAGTTGCCTTCAAAGAAGGGATCAACGAATGGTCATTTGTGAAGGGCGGACATCATATCCCCTGCAGCCCGGGAGGACTGACCAGGAACATCACTTATAGTTTAAAGAAATCAGGGCTGAGGGTTGTCACGAATCCAGATTTGAAGAGAATGAAGAGTAAATGAACGCCAATCCTTCCTACCTTATGGACACGCTCTCTCGCAGCTTCTCTTCTCCGATGCTGGGGCACCAGGCCCGGGTGCTCTGCCTCTGTGCCTTCACTCCACGGGAAGCTCATGCAGTCTTGTGGCTTTACTGTCACATACATGTCAATACCAAATCTCTGCCTCCCTCTCAACCTTTCCCCAAGTCAACGTATGTATACACATTCCCAATCTGGTATCTATAATGTATACACATTCCCAATTTGGTATCTATAATTCAGCATGTCTGAAACTCAATTCCTGATCTACTTTTCTAAAACCTGTTCCGCCCACAGCATCATCCAGGTGCTCTAAAAACAAAACAAAAAACACCTGGTAGTCTTATTGGAATCCTCTGCCTCTCTCATACCCCATAGGAAATCCCATTAGCTCTAACTTTAAAACAATCCCAGAAACCAACCGAACTCCATGACCATCACCCTGACCTAAGTCACCAACATCTCTTGTTTGGATTACTGCAAAAGCATCCTACTGGCTTCTGCCTGTTAGGATGCAGTCCTTCGATTTCTCAACATAGCACCAGGGTGATCACAGAAGCCAGAGCACAGAGCACTCCTCTGATCAAACGCTACAACCGTGTTTCACTGAGAGCATGGCTAGTCCCTACAGTGGCCTGAAAGGCCTTATGCAACCTGACTGCTCTTTATTTCTGCTAACCTCTTGATGCACTCTTTCTCCCTCTGTTCGTCTCACCGACCTCGCTCTACAACACAATTGCAGGCATGTGCTAGCCACAGGGCCTTTGCTGTTTCCTCACTCCGAACACTCTTCCCCAGATATGCACTTGCTAATTCCCTCATCCCCCTATGATCAAATCTCACCATCTCAATAAACTCTAATCTGACGTGTACTTAATTCTGCAACCTACATCCCCCCACACAGACTACCCATTTCCGTACTCCACTCCCCAACCCCAAGTTACCACCCTCTAAAATACTACACAGAATCTACTTACTCTTTATACATTGTTTTTGCATAGATATCTCCGGCAGAATGTCAGCTCCTCGGGACATAATTGTGACGTATACCAAGCAACTACAAAATCCCTGGTAGAGTTGGCAATCAGTCAATATTTGTTAAATGAACGAAATGTAAAATGGAACTGTGGCTGGGGCTCTGCCAGAGGGGCAGAGCAGGGTCAGAAACAGGATCTTGGAAACAGCCTTATATAGCATCAATATACCCAGTGTTCGCACTACCAAGATCCTGTTTCTGACCCTCAAACACCCCTGTGCACTAAAACTTCAGAAGTCCCAAACCTAAAAGCTTGACATTTACTTATGTCAAAACATATTTATTCTCAATATATATTCACCTATACCCAAAGAACTACTTCTTACAAATTAATCTCAAATACCATTACCTATTTAGTATTCTTGCTAAAAAAAATTTTAAGCCAGAATCTAATCATAACAGACAAACCCAGACTGTAAAACATTCTCCAACACAGCTTAATTTACATGGAATCATTTAAACATCAAAATCATCACACACACACACACACACACACACACTCTTAAGAGAATTCTGGATTAACAGAGCAAGAACACAACCAAATACAATAGATAACCCTTGATGTTGATGGAAGGTTAACTTCTCAAAACAAAAGGTTGGGAGGAAAAATTAATCTCAGAAAAGATGACCCCACCCACAAAGAACGTTGCCTGGATTTGGAATGGGAAATAATAGTGAAAAATACCCTGAAACCAGGAATGTCTTTGCAACAAGCCTAATTAAGCCCTGGATTAGTCTAACCCAAAAAATACCGAGTAAGCAATCACTACACACTGTAGTCCGCGGCTCCATCATGAGAGTCGGGAAGTGAGACGCAGACAAGGCGGAACCAGGTGGATGAGCACTCTCGTCCTGGCCTGGGGGATGCCACTGCAGCCTGGGGCAGTGGAAGCACCACACGGGGCTGCATCTAAACTCAAAGTTCCTGGTTCTTTCACTGCTTTGCAAATTCTAAGTTTTCCAACAAACCCTGAGAGCTATTTTTAACCTTTTAATGCTAGTGGAGTAAGATCACTTTGACACCTGCACATGAGCCCAAACATGGCTATGTTCCTCTACATATACCACAAGACGAGCACCGGGTAAAGATGAATATTTATTCACTTTACAAAGAGAATGGTATTAAATTGCCATAAACAGTTCCATTTATAGACAAATATAACTGTACATTACACCAGTAGCGGCTCAAACTTGTCTTCCCAAGATGCTTGTGTGGCTCCAGCTCTGTGAGCTGAGCACAGAAATCTCTGTTCTGCCATTAAGCTTAAAAAGTCCCTCAGAGATAATGGTTTTGTGTTTTACATATTCACAGGTGGTAAGAATAAACCCATCTCCACAGCCCTCCCTTAGAGCTGAGCTTCCATCTGCATGTTCCCTAGAGAGCACTAAACAAATACTGGCTCATTCATGTAAAAAAAAAAAAATTACTGATAATTTGAAAAGGCTTTTGTAGCACACCAAAATACTTATTTATACATACATAAAAAGTCTCGAGTCAGATTTATTATTTTAAAGGTAAACAGATACCCTAACACTTCCAAGAGTGGGTAATGAAAAGGAAGGAAAACATTAAATTACTGAATTATAAAAATATTTTCTTTGGAAAAAAATTCCAACAAGGTTATCATTAATATCTAAAACCAAAGAGAAAAAATAAACAGTTGTTCTTTGATCCATTAGTAATTTAAATAAAAATGAAAACCTCTTCAAAAGCAGCTATAACTGAATTTTTTAAAAAGTTGCAGATAATGAGTATTTCTAAATCTATACACTGATGATTCTTTACAGGCAAGTTGCAGTCAAGAAAAATCCTTAATATGGCTAATTCTTTAGTTTTAATTACCATAATTTTTTGTGTTTTAAAAAAATATTCCACATGACAGCTTAAAAAATAAGTGGCTGTTTGGGGGAAGCACTCCAAATAGTCAACCTGACTCAAATCAGATCACCACCAGTAATAGACAAGCTAGGGATACTGGTATTTAAGTTTTTAAATTCCAACCGTTTTTACCCTGAATCTTTAGTTACCCCTTCATATTTTATGAAAATGTACCAAATTAAAAATTGTTTTTACGCCGCTTCGTGTCTGGATCTGATGAAAGATACCAACCTGAGATAAGAGCTGACTCCTTCACAAAGTCCAGGTCTTGAAACCTTACATGGGAAATGTCTGTGTCTTCACTTACGTCAATTCTTGCTATAACCAACCATACTGGGATATTATATTATAAAAATATACCATATATCGGACACTTATGTCAGTACATTGCAGAAAATGTGTCTATTTGCTGTGTAAAGTTTATTAACATTTGAAGGAAACACTCTTATTTACACAGTGAAGTCTGGGGTGCTCAGGACAGCGAGATGGCATGGGAACCACCACGAGGAATCTGGAAATGTGCAACGGTCCTTGGCGCCTGTCCCAGAGACAACCCTTCCCAGGAGAACTCGGCAGCACTGGGGAAGGCGCACCAGAGGTGATAGTTCCATCAACTTGTTCTCCGTCCTCATTCTTCTTCACTTTCATTTTCAGGATCTAAGTCAGAATCTCCATTTAATTCTTTCTCACTGGCCACATCCCTGTCCTCCTCCCCGTTCTCCTCATCTTTCTCTTCGGCATCTTCCTCTTCCTCTTCGTTCTCTTCATCAACATCCTCGTCTTTTTCACTTTCTTTCTCTTCCTCATCTTCATCCCAGTTATCCTGGTACGAACAGATGAAGCACGGAAAGCACTCATTAAGGACTCATTTGTAAGAGCGCAAGGGCGTAAAGGCAGATTTATGCACCAGGAAACAAGGTACTCACATCAGAGTCCTTCTCTGCAATTTCATCATCTGACTCCTCTTCAGAAGATTCTGCAAGGGGAAAAGCCCAGCCTTAAGTTTGTAATCAACAAGCAGAGGGCAGAGCCCTAACAACTAAACAGTCAGATTCCTGAATTTACTTTTAGAAATACTGCATTCAGCGATCATCCATCTAAGCAGTAACATGAATATTCTTATCCGCATCAAAGTTTGTTTATTATGTTCTTCTATCAAGATCTCACTGATTAGGACAAAGTACCAAAAACCTAACAAAATCCATCTTAAAAAAACTAAGCCGAGAATGTGGAGAAAAGGGAACCCTTGTGGTAATGTTGGTAGAAATATAAGTTGGCCAATCACTATTGCAAACAGTACGGACGCTCCCCAAGAAATTACAAAGAAAGCTACCAGGTGTTCCACCAATTCCACTACTGGGTATATGTCAAAGGAAACAAAATCAGGATCTCAAAGGGATACACACACCCCATGTTCACCGCAGTATCACTTAGAACAGCCAAGACAGGGGAACAACTTAAAAGTCCACCCATGGACTGGATGGATGGTTAAAGAAAATGTGGTAACTACATTCAGCCATTAAATTCCATTCAGCTATTAAAAAAAGTAAATCCTCCCATCTGTGACAACATGGATTGGCCTTGAGGGCACTGTGTCAGGTGTGTGAGTCTGACAGAGAACGGTTAGTGCTGCACGATCGTACTCAGATGTGCAACCTAAAAACAACAAACCAACAGACATAGAGAACAGATTGAGGGTTGCAAGAGGTGTGGCGAGTGGGGGAAATGATGAAAAATCAAAAGGTACAAACTTCCAATTATAAAAGAAGTCAGTCCTGGGAATTTAACGTACTTAACAGTATCATACTATATATTTGAAAGCTGTTAAGAGATGGGCGCCTGGGTGGCTCAGTGGGTTAAGCCTCTGCCTTTGGCTCAGGTCATGGTCTCAGGGTCCTGGGATCGAGCCCCACATCGGGCTCTCTGCTCAGCAGGGAGCCTGCTTCCGCCCCCCCCCCCTGCCTGCTGCTCTGCCTACTTGTGATCTCTGTCAAATAAATAAATCTTTAAAAAAAAAAAAAGAAAAGAATCTTTTGAAAGCTGTTAAGAGAGTAAAAGAAGTTCTCTGAGCAACTATGTGTGGTGATGGACGTTAATTAAACATATAATGGTGATCAGTTCACAATATATACATAGATCATCAAATCATTAAGTTGTACACCTAAAAAAATGTTGTATGTAATTATAACCCAAATTATATCTCAGTAAAACTGGAAAACAAATGAGGTCTAAGTAATAACCCAGGCATGCTTTTACGTCCTTCAGTTATGTTTTATTATTTTCTCTATAAAGGTTTTATTTCATTTTTTAGATATTAGGTATATATCTAGGTACTTCATAGTTTTGACTGCTGGTGTGAATGAAATCTTTTTTTCCTAATACATTTTCTGACCAGGACACACATCAGTAGACACACAATACATTACTGAGACAATCATGCTATTGATTCCTTTCTGCTGATCTTGGTGTCCAGTAAACTTACTTACGTCCGTATCTCATTAACTGTAGATTCTCCTACATTTTCTAAGTTGAAAAGGATAGCAACTGCCAGGGCCAAGGTTCTAGAATTCACTTCTTTCATATAATACTAGGCAGGCTATCCAGAAGCAATAAAAGGTACATTATTGTCTACTTGCTGACTTTATGGGAATGCTTCTCAACTTTTGTCTGATAGAGATTAAGGAAATTCCTTTAAATTTGTAGGTTACTCATATTATCAATAATGAGATGAAGACTGAATTTTACTGAATTCTTTTTCTGCATCTATTAATATATATTGTTCTACATTAATCTGTTTATGGTAATTAAGCAGATTTCTTGATGCTAAATCACCTTACAATCTTTAAATAAATTCTACTTGGTAATGACATATTATCCTACTTAAGTACTTCTGTAATATTAACTTGCTACTAAGGATATTTAAAGACATTGTAAAATGTTGTTTTCTTAACTGTCCTTATCTGGTTTTGACTCATAAAATGCCTGAACTGCTGGGGCACCTGGGTGGCTCAGTGGGTTAAAGCCTCTGCCTTCAGCTCAGGTCATGATCCCACGGTCCTGGGATCGAGCCCCGCATCGGGTTCTCTGCTTAGCGGGGAGCCTGCTTCCCCCTCTCTCTGCCTGCCTCTCTGCCTACTTGTCATTTCTGTCTGTCAAATAAATAAATAAAATCTTTAAAAAAAAAAAATGCCTGAACTGTTATATATGACAAAACTGACTTGTTCCTTGAAAGACTGATGAAATCCCCTATAAAAACTCTGCGCCTGATATCTGAGCAAAGCTTTTGATTAAATCAATTCAAAGCCACTGGCTTATTCAAGGTTTCTATTTCTATTTTTTTTTTAAATTAAAGATTTTATTTATTTGACAGAGAGAGAGAGAGCAGGAGCAGGGAGAAGGGCAGAGGGAGAGGGAGAAGCCAGGCTCCCCACTGAGCAGAGAGCCTGATGCCAGGGCTCAATCCCACGACCTGGGGATCATGACCTGAGCCAAAGGCAGATGCGTTTAACCAACTGAGCCACCCCGGTGCCCCTCTAAGTCACTTTTGGTCAATCATGTTTCCTAAGATATTATCTCTTATTATCTAGGGTTTTAATGTGCTGGCATAAAAGTTTGTTCACAGTGTTCTCCTACTTAAATCTCTTCCATACCTAGTGCCCTTTCTCATTTAACTCTATGGTATTTGCACCTTCTCTTTTCTTACTGGATCGTATTTTTGTCAAAGGCTTGCCCACTTTAATAGAAAATCTGACGTGCCACAGTATGATCTTAGTCATGTTCTACAAAATAAGGTAACAGAACTCAATGTTAAAAAATGAATATTCCAATTCTAGATCTACAGAAACCTCAAGCCTTACCTTCCTCGTACACCAATTTTGCCTTTTGTGCAGGACAAGTCATTCCCTTTGTTTTTTCTGATGCTGTAACCTGAAAGATAACCAAGTATTTTCATGAAGTGGAGTACAAGGTTATCTCAAGTATGTAGCCACCGCTATGCTCCACCTTCCCCAACAGGAAACTCGTCCTCAACCAGTATGATGGATGACCTCAATACGATACAGATCAAATACAGGGCAAAAAACAAACTTGTAAAATACAAGAATAAAGAGTTACTCTGTAAAAGCTGAAAACCTTTTAAGGTGATCAGAACTTGTTTCCAAAACTGCAACAATATCCTATATTAAGTTATAATATATATAAGCTATTATATATATGTTGTAATATATATGTTATAAATATCCTGTAACTTGCTATTCGTAGTAGCACAGCCATCTTAACTGTAATAACAACTGAAACAGGACAGTGAGAACCTTTGAGGAAAAGCTGAATCACAAGGAAGTTTACTTCCAGTTAAAGACTGGACCCTGATTTATCAATTTCTTGCTGAAACATGGGGCTTTTGTTGTTCAGGTAAACAATCCTTATTCCTCTCCATTCCTATCACATCCAAAGCTTAGCACAAAACAATCTTGATTTACTCACTTGAGTGATTAGAAGAATAAGCTTTCCATGAAGGTGGGAGAGTTTCTGAAAAGTTTTTACTCTGCTTTCCATTAACTGATACAGCGTTCCCAGCTGGGGTACCAGATCAGGCAACTAGGCGGGAAAAAGATTATCTCACACTATCATGACAAAGTACAGATAACAGACATATATACAAAGTACAGACAACAGACATACAAATCATGCTCAGATACAACCAAGTATCCAGCCACCACACCACAAACATCTGCTTACACCTCCTGTGGTAGTGGCTGCTTGGGACACACCCCAGTAACATCTTAAACTTTCACAAGCTGACCTTTAATGTCCTAATGGCAAAAAATAGTGTGCTTTTTAAAATAATGATACAGGCGGGAGGAAGAGGCCTGGGTGGCTCAGTCAGTTAAGCATCTGACTCTTGATCTCAACTCAGGTCTTGATCTCAGGGTAGAGAGAGAGTTCAAGCCCTGAGCCTACTAAAAAAAGTAAATAATAAAAAAAAATTTTAAATAAAATATTGAGAGGTCAATGTAATTCAAACACTAAATAAAAAATACCGTCACCACGTATCTCCGGGCTAAAGAGGGTTTCTTCTGAAACTTATTCTTTGATAGTATCACATGATCTACCTCTACCATAAGCAAGCTAAAGAAAGCTTTGCACAGCTTCCAGAGACCAGAAAACAGAGCGACAGAGTACAAAGCTGAACTTACAGTATTTCAAACATACATCCTGTTAAAGAACTCTCTGGAGTTCTTTTAAGTTACTTTTAAGGAAGTAAAGCCTGAAATTTGTCCCTCCAGGGGGGAAAAAAAAAGAACCCCACTCTTTGCCCTTTAATTAGCCTTTACTTGCCCTCTGACTGCTGACAATTTAGCATAAATAAGAGTTTCATTCAAATGTTAAACTTTAAACAGCAAACACACAAAAATGCATAAAACAAAGTTTAAGGTGATCACGTATCAACTGCCATCATCTCTTTTTTTATCTGTCCGTATTCACACAGTAAGCTCCAGGAACAGGGGCACCACAGTATCTTGTTCATTCCTTAAGCCCCGTGCCTAGCAGACCCTCAGCTTGGAGAAGGTAAGGACACCTGATAAGGAGGAGGAACCAAAGGAAGGTGAAGGAAAAAGCACTGCTCTCTGAGGAGAGAATTCCCGCAGGCCGTGGAGTCCTCTCCACACCATCCTTCTTTGGTCTACTGTGCCATGACTGTGAACTTTACACAACTGCTACCTCAGCAGTTCACCCTTGGCTCCAGAAGGGATTTCTCTACAAGGCCTCCTAGGGCTCTTTTCACTTCTAAGCAAATGAATGAGGTTATAAAATAAGTGCTGTCCTTTTCACCCCAAGTCCTGATGCTTGTGGGAATCTTCTAGTGCCCATCGCCCACCACTCAGCCATTCCACTTAACCACTGCCCTCAACTGATCCCAAGATTCCAAACCTAGGAAACCCCACAGCCACTCCTAGTGTCTTGTACCTCCTCTCATTCTAACATCCTGGCAGAGTTCTCCCCAGACACAGAAAGATCAAACTGCTGGCCTTAAAGCAGGTTATCAACTTGTTTCCCGTATTTCAAACTACTCAAGGCACAATGAGCCTGAGACAGAACAAGGGACAGCGACCAGGCAGAGCTGGGTGAAACTGTGTTAAGAAAGAAGAGCAATTACGAATTTTCTTCAACTATCCATTATACCTTTTTAAAAAATCTATTATAAGGTGCTAGGTATTAAAATTAAAGAAAAAGAAAAAAGGGAATTTCTAGCTTAAAATGTAACTGATTTAATGAGCAAAGAACCCAATTCATATTATGAAATGTATGTAAATATGTGTATTATAAATTTGTGTTTTCTGGTATTGATTAAAATTTGATGTTTCCTCTCTTCCATTTGTAACAGAGCTGACAGCAGCCCCACAAAATGACAACCATTTAATATTTAATTTCATTTTTACCACAAACTATCTTCTATTGTCCTGGAACAAGGCAGAACAATGGAGAGGTACATACATTGTAAAAATAATTTTGCTAAACAGGTTATACACATAAAAAAACACCTAAAGGCTAACATGACAGTATCTTCTCTTTCTTTATTTCTCAAAGTTCTCTATAAAATGTATATTACACTTTTAAAATCCAGGGCAAAAAAAGGGCAAGTTTTCAAAAGGCAACAATGATGACATTATTACATTGCACCTGGGGTAAAATAAAATCTTTAAAAGCGAGCAGCTGATGGTTGAAGGTTGAAGGTTGAAGGGCAGGTGGAAGGAGGATGGTTTCATTAACACAACCGTTTATAATCCTTATTAAAGCCAAACTATTCAGCAACTACAACTGAAGACTTACTGTGGATAAGTAGGATGCATGGACCGTTAACACACATTTTAGCCACTGAACCATTAAAACGGCACTGAAAAAAAAAATCCAAGTAAATGAATATTCATGATTTCAAAATTAAATACAATGGAGTGATAATATTAGATAAACTCAGACCAAGATCTATAAATTGTGCCCTGTAAAAAACAACCCTACTAAATAACCACTGACTTTGATGATCTTCTCGTCCCTCTGAGAGTCTGAGATCTGTGAAACAGAATCATCTCTTGGGGAGGAGGGGAGAGTAACATCAACTGAACCGGACAAAACTCTCTTCCTCTAAAACAATTCAAGAATAAAGCCCATGCTTTACTCCAACTGATACCAGGGCGGTAAACTGGGCTCAACTGACTACATTTTTACACCTATCATCTACTCGCCATCAAGTACAAATAGCATAAGATTTCCATGCCACATTCAAAGACAAATACAGACCAAGAATGTGGAAGCTGGGCTTAATCAATGAATTCGTTGGCTTTTCTTTGGAAGCTCCAAACACGAATGCAGTCTATCGGGGGAAAACTTGGAAAAGGGGACACCTGGGTGGCTCAGTAGGTTAAGCATCTGCCTTCACAGCTCAGGTCATGATCTCAGGATCCTGAGATCCAGTCCTGAGTTGAGCTCCCTGCTCAGCAGGGAGTCTGCTTCTCCCTCTGTACTCCAACACCACCCCACCCGACTCATACTTTCTCTTGGTCTCTCTCTCTCTCTCAAATAAGTAACATCTTAAAAAAAAAAACAAAAACAAAAACCAACTATATACTGTAGCACTGAGAATACTGTCAGTTTAGGATCTCTGAGATACCAACTCCCTATTCAAATACTTAATCATCAAATTATTAACAAAAAAGACTCACAAAAATTCAGTCCTACAAAATATTTACTTACAGTGTCTTACCAACTACCAGAGGTTTGGGGAGTTTGACAAATGGCAATTTTACATCTGATCAGGACTAAATCATTACATAAGACTAATTCATTACAAGACCGAACAACGAAGCTAGAAAAACTACACAGGATTTTACTAAAAGAAAGGGAAAAACTGTACTAAAATCTTAGGAATAAAAGTTATTCAACTTACAGTAAGAGGGAAGAGCAGTATCTGACCTTACAGATACACAGTCTTACCAATTAAGAATGTGGAGCTGCCCACTATGTAATTTCAAGCCAAAAACTCTTTTTTTTTTAAAACAATCGCCTCTAAAATATTGATAAAATCAAAGCAATTTAAGTCGCCTAAATATCTTACCTATTAGGATGTCCCTGCAATCTCTTTGTAAGCTGAGGGAGGAAAAAAACTGTATTAGCGACCGCACTTCAGAGGCAGTCCATATGCACCAATTCCCACGATACACACATCCAGGAGAACAAAGAAAATACAGAAAAAATATTTAAAGGGGCTCCTAGGTGGCTCAGTTGGTTAAGTACCCAACTCTTGATTTCGGCGCAGGTCATAACCTCAGGGTCCTCCAGGTCGTCAAATCAAGTCCCAAACTGGGGTTCCTCGCTGGTTGGGGAAGCTGCTTAAGATTCTCTCTCTCCTCCTCCCTCTGCCCCTCTCCCCAAAAAAGACTTAGGAAATCACTATTCCTAAAGGATCACTAATCCTAAAGGATTCCTAAATTTCCTAATTCCTCAATGTCCAACCAATGTATCATAATCTAGGAACACATTCCCACATGAAGAATAATTACTGATAAAAATCTAGGTTATAATTTATATGAATGAAAATTTAGAACAGGCAAATCCAGGGACAGAAAATAATCTCTGGTTGCCAGAAACTGGGTAAAGAAGAATGGGGAGTAGCTAACTGGTACATGATTTTTTTTGGTGTGACAACTGCACAACCTGTGAATATATGAAAAAATACTGAATTATATGCATTTAAACAGTGTATTTTATGGTATGTGAATTTTGTATCAATAAAAAAAATACATGAAAAAATGTGGACTAGGTAAATTTTTAGTAGATCTATTATCTACTGTGAATACCTTGCTTGCTTACACACTACAAATCTGCTTCTCTAAACAAGAGATTTTCTCTTTAACTCCCAGCGTTAGGACCTTAAAAAGAAAAGAGTATTCAGTTACCTCTTGCAACAATGGAATAACAGCATGCAGGGGCATCCTTAATACAGTCCTCTTAATTAGGTTTAAATTCCTAGTTTGAAGTACTTTCTGTGAGAAAATAAAAGAAACATGAAGATAAGCATATGCAGAAGCTAGACACTAGAGGAAAAACAGTAAAAAATGATTTTTTATTAATTTAAAATCTATTTAGTCAACATACAATGTATTACTAGTTTCAGGGGGAGAATTCAATGATTCATTAGTTGCCTATAACACCCAGTGCTCACTCCATCAAGTACCCTCCTTAATGCCCATCACCTGATTACCTCATCCCTCTTCCCACCTCCCTTCCAGAAACCCAAATTTATTTCCCATAGTTAGGAGTCTCTTATGGTTTGTCTCCCTGTTTTTATCTTATTTTATTATCCCTCCCTCCCCCCATGTTCATCTGTTTTGTTTCTTAAATTCCACACAGGAGTGAAATCATGGTATCTGTCTTTCTTTGATTTATTTCGCTTAGCATAACAGCTCTAGTTCCCTTCACGTCATTGCAAATGGCAAGATTTCATTCTTTTTGACAGCTGAGTAATATTCCCGTGTGCGTGTATGTGTGTGTGTGTGTGTGTGTGTGCGTACGTACACACATCATCTTTATCCATTCATGTTATCAATGGACATTTGGAATTTTGTATTTTGGCTATTGTGGATATTGCTGTTAAAAAACATTGGGGTGCCCCTTCAAATCACTATGTTTGCATCCTCTGGATAAATACCTAGTAGTGTAATTGCTGGGTGATAGGGTATTCTATTTTTAACTTTTGAGGAACCTCCGTACTGTTTTCCAGAGTGGCTGCACCAGCTTGCATTCCCAACAATAGTGTAGGAGGGATCCCTTTTCTCTGCATCCTTGCCAACATCTGTTGTTTTCTGACTTAATTTTAGCCATTCTGACAGGTGTGAGGTGATATCTCCTTGTGGTTTTGATTTGTACTTCCCTGACACTGAGTGATGCTGAGCATCTTTTCACACGTCTGTTTTAAAAAACCAAACAATAAACTACCAACTGAATTTTAGCTTGGAGGGACTAACTAGACAATGTTATGTTAATGTCTTTGGCTATCAGGAAAGTATTATCTTCAGGAATCAGGACATTTACTTTGATAAACGGGTTACTTTCCTACAGATTCTAATCTTTATGAACAAATTTTTATATAAAATACCTCTAGACACTTAAATACAGTAATATGCCACTGTAGAGAAGCTGTCAAAACTGTTATTTTAAGAAATCAGAGACATATCCATATGAGAATGAGCAAAACACACTAATACCACACTTAGCAACGAATCTTTCAAAACTGACAACTTTTTGATAAAACTTCAAGCCAATCAAAAGATCATATATAATGAGTGCTTGAGTCAAAATCCTGGGAGGGTGCATCAACTAGAGAAACCCAGTCTCCACCACAGAGGACAGAAAAGGAGAGATGAGTCCTAATCCTGGCAGGCCTTTCCATGTCTCAAACCCCAAATGCTTCATCTACAGGAAAGGATGGGAAATACAAGGCTTTTCAGATCTCAAAACCTTGATCTCCCCATTCCTCTTGAATACTTCTATATATTTTTTCTTTCCAAAGGGTTTAATTCCCAGAGTAACTTCCCTGATGACAGGTGCATACGGTTTTGGAGGTGGTTGGTACTACAAAGGTCATACCTAAGATACAAAGAGTGGAAGTACCAAAGAACAAACAAAATATAGAAAACTGGTTTACAGCCTATTTTAATAGTATCCTTTCAGAATTCCCTATGAATTTCATTTGCTTATAAAAATATCTTTACACGAAGCTCTTCTAATAAATCTATCAGGAACTATATAAAAAAACTACCACTGGCATAACTATATAGTTTCTCATGCAAAAGAAATAAAACTTTTTATACACAATCACTGAAGAAATGAGGGATGGAATGTCCTTATTTAACAGTCCCAATTAACCTAAATTTATATTTTCAAATAATCAGAATACAGGACTCAAAGCAAAATATGTTGATTAGAACTTCTACAGTAATTCAGAAGGTATGTGACGATACTAAACATTCCTCAAATCACCTCATTTATTGTAACTATTAGTTATCACAAAGTTCCAACAATGTACAGGTTATAGGGAACAATGTGTCTGAACTAGTCTACAAATTAGTGTTTGAGGTAAGACATGCTCTTGTTAAGATCCTGAATTTTCGTGGGATGTCCACCAAGCCATAAGGTTTCACTGACTTAACTGGCTAAGTAGGGCAACTGCCTTTCAGGTCAAGGAATACTAACTTGAACCTGCTGCCGCACGTTATTTCTACGAAGCTTAGTTATAAAACAATGTAGGAATGAGGGTTTAAAAAATATCTCCTGGTACCCTAAATACAAAGTGATCATAAAATCTGTTGTCTGAACTGGGACATCTCTAACAACAAAAGAAGTCACTAGTAATTACTGTATCAAGAAAAAAGGTATAAACCAGAACTATCAAAGGCAAACAAGAGTACCTATAGCCTAGGACGCTTGGGTGGAGTTGGTTAAGGGTCCAACTCTTGATTTCAGGTCAGGTCATGGTCTCACCAGGTTGTGAGATCGAGCCCTGCCAGCACTGGCTCCACACTGGACAAGAAGCCTGCTTAAGATTCTTTCTCTCCTTTTCCCTCTGCCCATCCCCATCTTCCCTCTCTCTTTTAAAAAAAAAAAAAAAGAGAGAGAGAGCGAGAGAACCTATGGCCTCGCTATTCGGAAGTTAAATCAAACTGCAAGGCAGAAGAGTTCTTAACAACCTCTCAAGAAATTCTTATGCCAACTAACAACAGGCTCTATGATAATTTTCAAATTTAAAATAAACAAGTAAAAATAAGTTATCCCAAAACAAAGTGAAGTGTTAATGGATACAGAAGTTAACATTAACTTCCACTGAAAATATATTTAAAGAACAACCCTATAAACCACAGTTGTAACTAGCAAGAAGATACTAAAGGTTTGGTTTTTTTTTTTTTTTACAAGTCTACACTATAAACGAAGCATAATAAACTGTACCCGCTTGAAGTATGCTATTTAATCAGTCTGACATAAACATTTGTCCATGAAACACTGTGATAAACATTCCATCGCCCTCAAGTTTCCTTGGGTCCCTTAACGTTCTATCCCTCCACCCCGCCCTCAGGCAACCACTGAACTACATACTGGTCTGCATGTCCTAGCACTGTACGTAAGCAGAATCACAGAGGGCGCGCACTCTTTGTCTAGCTTCTTTCTCACAGCGTTAAGTGTGAGATTCATCCGTGTTGTTGATGTATCAATAATACATTCCTTACACTGCCAGATAAAGAACTTGTTTATCCGTTCATAAGAGGAGGGTCACATGGGTGCTCTCCAGGTTCTGGCTATTAAAAAAATAAAGTTGCTACGACCATTCATGTACCAGTCTTTATATGAATATGTTTCTGATTCTCCCAGGTAAATACGTAGCAGGAAAAAGGCTGGGTCTTAAAGCAGATGAATCCTTAACTTTAAAGAAACTGCCAAATTGTTTCCCAAAGTAGCTGTACCATTTTATTTTCTCAACCAACAAGACAGGAGGTTCCAGTTGCACCACATTCTCACCAACAGATGGAATAGTCTTTTAAATTTTAATCAATCCATACTGGGAATATAGTGTTAGCTCACTGTCATTTTAATTTGCATTTGTGATGATCAATGATGTATAATACCTTTACATGCACTTATTGGCCATTTGAATTGTATTATGAAGTATCTGTTCACACCTTTACCAACTGCTTTTTATTTGAGTCTCATTCTTAAAAGTTTTTTGTATCTTCTGGATATGAATCCTTTGTCTGATGTAGAAATTAAAAATATTCTCCCAGCCTGCAGCTTGCCTTTCCACTCTCTTAACAGTGTTGTTTCTTTTCTTTTTCTTTTTTTTTTAAGTGACAGAAATTTATTGAGAATTCCTGGGATGATGGTTTTCACCTCCCCACCTGCAAGGAGGAACCATCACTGCAGGAAATCACTCAGAAATCACAAACACTATCATTTCAAGAGCAAAAGATTTCAACTTTCATTAAGTCCAAATGACCACTTTTTTTCCTATAGTGTCTAATACTTTTTGTGATGCCATCTAAGAAGACTTCATCTGCTAACATCTGCATAGATTTTATCCTGTTTTCTTCTAGAAGTTTTGTAGGTTTGGGTTTTACATTTATCTATTTTCGGTCAACTTTTGTGAAGGGCTGAGATGCATTTTCTCCCAAATGGGTATGTGGCTAGTTCACAACTAATTGTTGGTAAGATTTTACTTTCTGCATTAACTCAACTAAGTACTTTTACTAAAAACCAATTGTGAGAGGTCTGTTTCGGGACTCTCGATTTTGGTTCCTTAATCTGTATTTTTTTTCTAATATCAGACTACTTCGATTACTAAAACTTTACCTTGAAATCAAGTAGGCTAAACCCTCCAATTTTACTTGGAGATGCTACTGAAATTTAATTGGGAATGTGCTGGATATACAGATAAATAAGGGGAGAATTCCTCATTTTAACAGTACCGAATCTTTCAACACATAAAGGTGGTCTACATCACTATATACTCAATCTTTGTTAATTTCTTATAATTTTTTGTAATTATCAATGTAGAGGGAGAGGCATCTTCTATAGCTTTATCCTAACTTTTTGGTACTACTGTAAATGGCACAGAAATTATTTAAACAAATTTTTTAAAATCTTAAAAGTACCTGTCTTCTGTAGATGCCATAAATTACATAAATGACTAGGCCTCTCTTCTCTTCTTCTCATAAGCTATAGACATTTTCTTTGAGTCAAATTTCCACCTTCCTAACGCCACAAATTGAATGTCAAGTTTCTATGTAGGGATTCTTATCCTCACTTCTAGTAGTATGGTGCATCTCTGCCACTGCTCACATCATTCTTTTTGTCCTCCTACTAAATTTCATGTATCCCCATAAGGTAATTTTGGGGAATGGGAAGACTGTTTTTAAGAGAAAAAAATATCTATTTTTTTAACCTGTCCCTCTCTCTCTTTTTTTAAGAGAGATGTACAGAATATGAGTGCATCATCTCCTAGGTAAAATACTATGGGAAAATCTCCATACTTATTTTTTTATAGGATTATTTCAAACCCTTCACTATAACTTTTACAGGTTTTTTTCCAGGATTCTAGTTTCTAATTACTTCTACTGAAATAAAACAATATATCACCCAAAGATCCTTAATAATGAAAAAGTCTTATGTGCAGAATACTTTACAATTTAAGAAGTGCTTCCATAAAGATTTCATTTTTCTTCCAACAACTCTGTGACACCTGATGACACACGGTCACCTTTGAAGTACGAAAAGATTTTAACTTGAATCTCTACAAGCTTCTAGAGCCAACTACCAGTGTATAAGAAATATGTCAGAGGAACATGTTAAATGATACCATTTATCAGATTAAATTAAATGACCCAACAAAATGGAGTTTTGTGGGAAGCAAAATCTTGAATGTGAGAATCTCTACAGGGCAAATAAATTAGCTTCTCCAAAAAATCAGCTACAAGAGGTAGAAGAGACCTCTCTCTCTCCATACTGTGTGGACTTCATGGAGATTATGTTTTGAAGAAAGCAAACATAAAAACTTAAGTTTATGAGACAATCAGGGAAATGTAAACACACTAACTGGGTATTTGATGATTCTGAGGAATTACTGTTTATTTTTAGGTGTGATAATGGATTGCAGTTGTTTTCAGAAGGGGCTGTTATTGTGAGAGTTAAACAGAGATGTATTTATGGATAAAATGAGTGTCCCTATGCTTCACTATAACCTGAGGAAGCCTGTGGGCAGATAGATGACACAAGGACAGAAAGATATGGCCAGTGTTGATAATTTCTGAAACTGAGTGATGAGTTCATGGGGGTCCACTCTAGTAATTTTTAAATGTTTTGAAATGATTCTTTAAAAAAAAAAAAATTGGTAGCTAATTTAGTTGTACTACTGAGAAAGGTTTCAAAGGACAGTTAAGGAGATAATGGCAGATAAGTCATATTACATTTTAAAAACATTGTCCATTGTTTTCCATAGCTTATTTTTCACCTAGGTTTCTATGCCATGTTAACCAAAAACCACTTTCCAAATTACATACACTCACAAACTACTTTACAAGTAATTTTAAAAGTAATTTTAGAATGTACTGATTTCCCCTCTCATTTTGAAAAATCACCTTAGACACAAATGATATTCCATTTAGATCAAAATATAAATCAGAAAGACACTATTCATAGGTTACCTGAATAAAGTAACGTATGAATAAAGTCACATCAATACTAAGTGGCACCATAATATCACTGAATCACTGAGAATAAATGCACTTAAGAAAATATAAACTGTTTTAATCTAATCAGGAAATGCTTAAATCTAATTTTTACACTTATTTTTTTTCTACAGACCACTATTAAATTCTGGAGTCTAAGAGGACTAATTAAGTAACTTCATACAAGCAGTCACCAACTTACAAACACAGAAATAATAAATGCCTCCTTTACACAAATTTCTAGTATTTTTAACCTCTAAATACTTCACAACATAACCCCCAACCCTCTTGAATTTTTCCCCCAAACCTCCTACCCATTGCCAAGGTTCCACCTCACCGCCCCCTCTCACGGCCAGGGGGACATAAGTTTCTGGAATCCAGAGTAAAAACTCAGGAACGCATTTTCCTACAGAAAAAAATATAAATTGTGATCTAGAATGCTGAGTATTATAGTTCAGCTACACTATGTTTATAAAGGCTTTTGTGAACTAAAGCCTAAAACCTAGTAACAATTCATAACAGTATTTCTATGAGAAAATGCATTCCAGGTTCAAAATAATTTAATACAATGCCTTTGTAGGTTGGTGACTGTCTGTATAGTGCCACCAAGTGATAAATGTTTGACTAGACTCACAAAATATTAAATTCAAAACAGCTACATCATGTGACTATCACTCTGAGTATGCTATGTCAATCACTTTCTAAGAAAAATTAACTGTGTTAATTCATTTTCAAAACTGCCAGAATACTTACATTTAGCATTTCGAAATCATTACTTTCTAAACCCTGTGTGAGAAGAACTGGAAAGCTATTTGTCTGTGGAAGGTCATCCTTTTCTTTCTTTGTATCTATATCCAGTGCTCCCAAGCGCTCTTCAATGCTAATCTGCGAAACAGAAACGATCTATTAATGTTAAACCAGACAAGGCCTAAAGTTGTTTAGTCAAGGGGTAACTGGGTAGTTCCCAGATCGGTGATTCCCAATCCGTTTCCAGATTCTAGTGAAAAAAACAACTACCCAAGAAACCATGATTTAAAAACATAATTCATAAACATAGCTATATAAGATTCAAATAAGGCAAGCACCTGGCATCTATTACTAAAACACAAGAAAAGACCTATTATGGAAGAAGCTTTGTCATCAGCGTCAGATCTGCAAAAAGGAAACAAGTATTATCAAAAGGAAATTAAAAATAAAGACAACTATGTTGTTTTATTAGTCAGTTCCAAATGGTGGTTTATTTTCTAGAAGATGCTCTACTACAACTAAGTTTCCTTCATAAATACCTAAAATTTAAGTATAAATAAACATGATTCAATTTGCTACACAAAAACTCAATTGTAGGGGTGCCAGGGTGGGGAAGTCAGTTAAGCATCTGACATTTGGTTTCAGCTCAGGTGCTAATCTCAGGGTCGTGAGACTGAGCCCAGCATCAGACTCTGCAGTCAGTGCAGTCCGCTTAAGACTCCTTCTCCCTCTCCCTCTATCCCTTCTCTACCACCCCATGCGCACATGCATGTGTGGGCTCTTTAATAATTAAAATCTTAAAAAAAAACAAAAACCTTCAATTGTAGAGAACTGATCTCTTATTAAAACAAAACAACCATGTTCTGCCAGCCTCTTAGATTAAAATACAAATGTTCTACAACTACCAAACCAAATAGATAGGCTTTGGCAAAGCTTCCTATTTGGGTTAGCTTATCAAAAAAGGCAGGAGGAAATTAAAGAAGTGGATCTAGGCCAAGCTAAAAAAGTTGGCACATTATTTTTAAATACAGGTACCATGCTATTGAGAAATAATTTTTATGAATAGTTATTCAGCCCCAACCCCCCAGCCAATAAAGACATTTAAAATTGCATAAAGAAATAGAACACTCTTTCTCTAAAGACAGAACAGTTAAAGCTCTAGATCATTTAGGGTGACACACATGAAGGGCTGCAGAGGCAAGTACAGTAACCACAGGAAGGAAGGTTTAGGGAGTTGAGAAAAAATGAAATTTATATGCACTTTAAGAGGTTATAATGACCACTTCTAAAGACCAACTATCACTAAACTAGCCAGGATTGCTCAGACAGCCAAGAGAAGAGGCATCACTGATAGTCAGCGACATGCGAAACCCAATGGAAATCATCACAGCAAGTCCTGGCTTCTTGTATTCAATTATGTGGTCCAGCTGACCACTGACAATGGCCAAACAGCACCCTCTGTAGTTAGTGCCAGTCTGTCTTCTCCCTTAGCCTTAGAAGCGACCAAGTAAACGTCTCACAGACTTCAATCTGGAATTTCAGAACCTATGCTGCTGGGGATGAGAAAGAGGATAACAGCAGCAATCTCAGTGACTTCCTGAAGTTCCAAGTTTGGCTCTATCCAATATATGTGCTAGGGTCTCACAAGTCATCTTAAATTTCAAACTCAAAAACTGTAAAAGTGATTGCATTACCTCATTCTCCCCCAATTTCCTCTTGCTCTCTACTTCCTCAATTTGTGGAGGAGCAGGCTTGATAGCTGCATGATGACCAGGTACCCCTGGCACCAGAACTTTTGCTTCAGAATTCACCACTGGTGTTCTCACCTGTTGAACACGAACAGCGGGGGTGTGACAAAAAAATGTCTTAGTCCTGGCAAAATTGAGCCCCAACGAGAAAACAGCAGCTAAAAGGTTTTTCTACTGGAAAAATCTAATATAACTTAGTATGTTATGAATTAAAGATAAATTTTAACTGAATGTTGGCAAGTAAGTTTTTAAATTATAATCTGAAAGTTAATTTTAAAGTTTTCAATGCCAAGTAAGAGTAAAAACCAGGAACATTTACAGATTACAGATTACTTAAAAATGTTAGAGTGAAGCTGTATGTTTTATGACCACCTCCAGGAATCCAGCTGGGCCAGAAATGCTCAGACAGCCAAGAGAAAGGTGTCATCTCTGGAATTCAGCCAGAAGCGAAACCATATATGGATGTCATCATGGCATGTCTTGGCTTTCCTTTTCTCATTAAACTGCCAAACATATGATATCTACATGTAGATACCATGTTATATTCAAAATAAAGTATCAAGATAATAATCTTATATGGTGTTCAATTTCAGACCCCTAATTCTAGGCTTTATTCCACCCTTAAATATAAGATTCCTCTCAAAGCTATGCTCCTTTAAATAGTGACATCAGTAAAATAATTTATTGATAAAGGTGTTATTTATTTAATGATCATACATGGGGGGAGGGGCTAACTCCAAGGCCTTAAACTCCTACTCATTCTCTATTCATTCATGTATTCAATATATCAAGAGCACAGAAACAAAGTGATTTTATAATCTCGTTACCTGAAAATGATTCCCACCAATTTGTCAAGATTATAAAGAGGATATTAAACAGTCTAAACATAATGTTATATTATAATTCAATTTACCCAAATCTCTTTTTTCTCAACTTCTAATATGAAATGCACTCACCTTTGTTACAGCTGTTTCTACTTTGGGGGCCCAGCAGTTTGAAATATCTCTTACTAAACACATATGAGATTCTTTGGAATTTAAAGCCTGGGAATATAATTTCAAAGGGGGAGGGTAACAAGGGAGGAAAAAAAAAAAGGAATGTCAAACAAAGCAACTGGGAATAACATGAAAAGCAAATTCCTACTCATGCATTTTTATAAAAATACAAAAAAGTGCAGAAAGGTTCCCCAAAACTGAGCCACTCAGACTGACCACCATTCAGACTGATGATGGCAGCAGAGAAAAGTGGAAAAACTCTGAAGATATTAAGCATAATGTGTACTTTCTTCAGTTATGAGCTGCTCAAATTTTTCACATGTATAGCTTTAAAAAGATCAACAGGCTTTTAAAATGTGACACATTTTAGGGGTGCCTGGTGGCTCAGTTGGTTGAGTGACTGCCTTTGGCTCAAGTCATTAACCCCGGGGTCCTGGGATCGAGCCCCACACTGGGCTCCCTGCTCAGTGGGGAGCCTGCTTCTCCCTCTCACTCCCGCTGCTCTGCATCCTGTGCTCTCTCTCACTCTGTCAAATAAATAAATAAATAAAGTCTTTAAAAAAAAAAAAAAAAAGGTAACAGATTTTAAAGAAAACATTCCCATCTGTCACCCTTGTAAAGAACAGTCTAGGCTACAGGATGCCTGGGTGGCTCAGTGGGTTAAAGCCTCTGCCTTCAGCTCGGGTCATGATCCTAGGGTCCTAGGATCGAGCCCCACATAGGGCTCTCTGCTCAGCAGGGAGCCTACTTTCCCCCCTCTCTCTCTGCCTGCTTCTCTGCCTGCTTTTGATCTCTGTCAAATAAATAAGTAAAATCTTAAAAAAAAAAAAAAAAAAAGCAGTCTAGGCTAAAAAAGAATGGCCCTACCCTAAAACTTCCTACTGCTATACTTTTCACAAGCAGGTCAAACAAAGCACTGCTAAAGAACAAAAATGCTCTAGGGTGGACCTCTACATCCTGATGTGGTACTGAACGGGGGACAATCAGACACAGCCAAGTACATGATACCCATACCCCTGAGGCTTTAAGGTTATATGTAATTCTCTATAACCATATAACAAATCCATATCTGGAAGGACACAAAACAAACAGGAAACAATGGCTTTATGGGCAGAGGAGGCTTAGGGAATCCACATATGGCAAAAGGACTTAGGTGTACAGCTTAACAATCCTGTCTCTTTTTTTTATTAAACCATAACCATGTGTTAAATTTTCGAAACACGAACAGTTAAACTCAACAAGAGCTTAAATTTAAGTTTTAATTAAATGCAAGTTTAAATTAAACTCAACAGGAGTTTGCTTGGGCATGTACTATTCCACTCATCATCTCCCAGAGGGCCTTACTGAGTAAAAGCAGTACAAACACAAGCTGAAGAAATCACCTATTGGACATGCTCAAACTCACTGGAAGTCTTCAAAGAAAATCTCTGTAATCAAAAAGTTAAGTGATTAAAACGACCCATTACATTTCCACAGAGAAAATTTAATGAGTACTGTTACTAAGGGCTCTTTCATTAAGATTTAGCTTTTGGGTAACCGGGCAAAATCCACTCATACCTATGCTGATCACAGTATTTGCCACTAGGGAAGTGGAGCTACTGAGCACTTGAAATGTGGCTATTCCAAACTGAAATGTGCTTGTTAGTGAAAATATACACCAAATATCAAAGACATAATACCAAATAAAGGAGAGAAATAAAATATCTCAAATAATTTTTCATACTGACTCAGGATTAAAATATTTTGGATACGCTGGGCTAAGTAAAATTAAATACATAGCTCTCACAAACTAAAATAAACCACTCAATGAAAGGTCCTTCAGTTAAGGGAAAATACATGACTTCTTTTTAAGGATTCCAATAAGCAGACCAATGAATCATTTTGAAATCATTTTTTCCCATGGCCTTGCTGATGCGGCATTGCTCTACGCCAGAGTAGCATTTACGTACCACTCGCTCAATGACGGGCTGAAACCAATTGCCATATACAAGCAACAGTGATATTTTGTCTGAGCAAAAACCAGCTGCTAGAATAGGGATGGGTTTTGGTGTTGATTTCTTGCCTTTCCCAGGTGTTGCTATCTGAATTGTGCAGTTTGAAGTCAAAGGCTTTTTGCAGTATCTACAAGTGAAAAAAAATTAATTAGAAAATTTGAAGTAACACCTCACAAGAATGCTTTGAAGTTGGCATCAAGTCAGGAAATGTAACCTTCCTGTGGCCTCCACACTATAACCGTAACCAGGGTCACCACAGCAGCAATGTTGCTGTCAAGACCTCACTATCTTATCTGCCTGGAGACCACGTACCCTTCTATCCCACTGTCAGGCCCCAATAGGGGCCCAAGCTCCAAGTGCTCTCTTGCTGCCTTGAGCTTGAACCCTAGATGACTCTCTACATGTGTTCCAATCAGCCCCATCCCCAACTGTTTCCAACCCCCAAAAGCCTCACTATGATCTCTGCAACACAGTTCGGGGAGCAAAATTATCAGCAAAAAGCATAATCAACAGAATCTCATCCTCAATTTCTTCTCTAAGGGTTTTTTTCACCTTCTCGCTCTACGCTATCTCATCAGAGCAAATCTCCCAAGTTGCAGCTGTTTTCCCTCCGTACTCTTTGTGTCAGAAACCTTGGACATGATTTAAGTGTGTTCCTTGTTCTTCACGAATATTTTAAGACAAGCAGTCTTCCTCTTTCACCTCTATAACCTTGGAAAGTGTTTTCACCAGATACCAGCTATCCCCCTTTCCTGCTGTCACCCAGTGATTTCTGGGTCACTGCCCCCTTTATTTCTTAGAGATTCTAGTGGCTCCACTGTCATTCTGTCCAACATTTTAAGTGGTCTCCACATCCACCACACAGGTTGATTATCTTTCTGACATACTATCCTCCCAGTTCCGAACCCTTCCCACCTCCAACAACCATGGCCACTCACACCATACACATTTTATCACCAGTTAAGTACACCGCACTATCCCTATCTTTCCAACTCACTCTCCTTAGTTAAGCGGACCCCACAATCATCTCTATCCAGGACTTCTGGCCTCTGCTTTGGCCTTTGATCCCTCTGTAGTCTATTCTCAACACATCAGACAGGAAGACTTAAACCCTAATGCCTTAACACTTAGGTTAAACCTCATCAATCTTCTGCATAAAAGCAACGGCTTACTACTATTGCCCAAGGAGAGGGGCCCAAGTCCTCACTGCAGCCCACTACTTCTGGGCCCAAGTATATATTCCACATACACGTAACTATGTAATTAAAGGCCTCAAGTGTTACACACAAACTGTTCACAGTAACCTCTACGGAGCATAACTCAATGGAGGGAGAATTAGGCTTTATAATCAACTGCCTATACGACCAAATGTTTTAAAATAATGTTTTATGTTTTCGTAACTATTTTATATTTAAATAAATTGCTACACTAGGATTGTAAAAGGAAGAATACCAACTTCACAAAAAGTTGAAACCATTTTAAAATTTACATGACTGAGTCTTAGATCATGTTTATAGAGTAAAGCAAAGATTGGAAAACTTTCTATAGGGAGCAGATATTTTAATTTTGGGGGGCCACATATGGTCAGACTGATTTCACCCACAGATCAAAATTTACTGAGCCCTGGTCTCTGACTCCTACACATCCCAGCAGCAACATGCCCTTCTACTCACCAAAACACTAGCATTACCGCGCTTCACTGACCCACATATGTATTACCAAAGTTAGAAACTAAGGCCTTACCAAGATCACAAGCTAAGTTTTCCAAATGAACCACTTACTTTTTAAAAGGTATTATGAGAATGGCCAACATTTACGAAAGCATGTATTGTAAAACTAACTTTACCAACCACAAACATGAAGAAATGGTCCATGACTCCAAAAACTTGAGTTCTTACTGGGAATGTATGTACTCATACGGATAAGGAATAATGCTTTCAAAATAATCTAACTGAAAAGGAATATAATGCAAAAAATATTGAGGTGGGAATAAAAAGGAGTAACAAATTAGGAAAAGAAAATTAACTTGACTTGAGAAATTTCTTACCCATTTAGTATGTGTTCAAAAAGATGAACTTGACCATCTCTGCAAACAACAGCTAACTTGACAGGCTAAAAGAAAAATTTAACTGATTACTCTAATGGGTTAATATACTTCAACCTACTCTAATGGACAACTGTTTTAGTAAATTACCAAAATTCAACTATTCTTCCCCCCCCTCCTTTAAATAACCATAGAGAAAGTTAGAACACCAAGGTTGCACAACTCCTGCATTTAAAAATCATACTGTCATCAAAATGACAACTGGAGTTGTTGTTGTAAAGCTCAGGAATAAAAGTTTAGGGGAAGAAGAGAAGAGCCTGCAAGTCAGAGGAGCAAAGTCACTACTACCAAGTACGGAGACTGACAAAAGGGACTTGGCAGGTCCTGCACATCAGAGCAGTCAGGATCGCTGAAAATGCCTCTACACGCTGACCCCTCCCCTCACAAGTGCACCCTGACGATTGAACGGTCACTCTGGACAGTCTAAGATTTTTGTTATATTTTCTTCTACCTCCCTCGTGTCCCCTTCTTTCCCAAATCATTAAATCATCAAAACACTAATTTTATAATAATACAATTGTGAAATCCAAAAAACAAATTCTCAAAAATCAAGCCATTTACCTCTTCCTTATTTTCTGACAAAGTCAGATCAATATAGACAGGTTCATCTGTAACTGTAAAAGACATCACTGCATTCTTTTCTTTGTTTTCTGACCGGACCTGCCTAGATAACAAAACCAATGATTAGATAAAAAGAAATTAAAAAAAAAAAAAAAAAAAAAAAAGATGAGCACCTATGGGGAGTCACAGCATTAGATTCGCCACAGCTTTTGCATCTTGAAAGCCAAGTAAGGGGACTACAGATCAAACTTAGTGACCCATCTGTGTCAATGCCATTTAACATGGCTGTAGGGAAAAGAAAAAGCACTAATGCATTTATGCAGATTTAAACAATGAGTAATGTTCTCTATTCTTTTTCATGAATCTATTTGCCTCTTGATGCCAATACCATACTATATCGTTTATTGTAGCTTGTTAAGTCAGGAAATCAGGCAATGTGAGCCCTCCAACTTTTTTCTGCTTTTTCAACGTTGTTTTGGTTCCTCTAGGTTCTCTGCATTTCCATCTGAATTTTAAAATTAGACTGTCAATGTCTACAAGAGTCTTCTAAGATTTTGACTGTTCACATTGAATCTATAGATTAATCTGAGGAGAATTTATATCATAGCACACGAAGAAAAGAGTCCAGAAATAGACCCACAAATATATTTACCCAAATGATCCTCATTATTTGTTGATTCCTTGTTTGAGAATTTGTCTACTTGCTAAAATTTATTTGTACACCCCCAAAGCAGTATTTGTGGAACTTCCAAGGTCTTTAACAGGTATGTTCAGAGCAGTGAAATTAAGAGTTACCAACAACGTTAAACAAAGCTATATGCTCTTATTTCAGCTCTCATACTATATAGTAGTAAGTATTCTAAGTATTACTTAGAATACTTAAAAGATTCTTTCTAGTGCCACTTTTTTTGCTTTTTTTTTTTGTTGTTGATTTCACTGTTTAAAACATCCCCCAAGTATAGTGCTGAAGTGCTGTGTAGCGTACTTAAGAGAAAAAAGCTGATATTCCTTATGGAAAACAGCTAGGTAAACTCTGCTCTGACATGAATTAATGAACTATAGATATATATATATATATAAAATTATTGTGTTGTGTATATTATAGTATGTGTATATAGTTATACACAGCAAATTTTGTGTGTGTGTGTGTGTGTGTATAAAATGAAGTATTTTTAAACAGAAACACATAAAACAAGGTTATGTATTGATTAGATGACAAAGATGTGACCGACGCTTGCAGAAACCTAACCCTATATTTCCCAGATGAATAAATAGTTCACTATCACCAACTCAGTGCTCATGAGGATTTTATACAACATAACTACTACAAATAATGAGGACTGTATGTGAATACCCATGTATACATGCAAAACCAGTTCACTGTAAATAGTCTTTTCAAAAAATGGTACTGGGACTACTGGATAGTTTCAATACCAAAACACATATTTCCTTTCATTCCTTGGGAATGCAAACTTGTGCAGCCATACTGGAAAACAGCATGCAGGTTCCTCAAAAAGTGATCCCAGCAATCGCACTACAAGGATTTACCCAAAGAATACAAAAATATGAATTCAAAGGGATACATGCACCCTGATGTTTTTATAATAACAAATATCTACAATAGCCAAATTATGCAAACAGCCCAAATGTCCATCAATTGATCAATGGACAAAGATGTGATACACACACACACACACACACTACATTCAATACGGAGTATTACTCAGCCATAAAAAGGAATGAAATCTTGCCATTTGCAATGACATGGGTGGAGCCTGCTTAAGATTCTCTCTCTGCCCTGCACCCACCCCCTGCCCTCTCTCAGGGGGGGGGAAAAAAAAAAAAAAAAAAAGGAGTACACTTGTGATGAGCACCAGGTGCCATATGGAAGTGTTGAGTCAGAATATTGTATACCAGATTAGTATTACACTGCATGTTAACTACATACACACTGGAATTTAGATAAAACTGCAAAAAAAAAAAAAAAAAAAAAAAAGAGCCATGCATCCTTACACCATCTACAGAAAATAAAACAGACCACAAAATCAAATTTAAGACTTAAAACTAAAACTTTCAAGAGAAAACCTTTGTGACCTTGGATTAAGCAAAGATCTCTAAATATGATCTGGACTTCATCAAAATTAAAAAACGTCTCTTCAAAAAGATAAGGCTATATACTAGGAGAAAATATTTGCAAAGTGCATACCTGATGAATGGGTTTATATTCAGAATATACACACAATTCTCAAAACTCAGTAAGAAAACAAACCCAGTAACAGACCAAAAATATTTGAATAGACACTTCATCAAAAAACATATCCAGACAGCAAATAGGCACATAAAGATTCTCAACATCAGTGGTCATTAGGGAAATACAAATTAAAACCACACTAGGGTACACACCTATTAAAATGGCTAAAATTAAATGAGTATATCAAGTATTGGTGAGAGTATGAATTCACACTCTTAAACAGCTGATTAGAATATAAAATGGTATAATCACTTTGAAAAAACTTGACAATTTCTTTTTTCATAGGCCCTATGCTCAAAGTGGGGCTTGAAGTCACAACCCTAAAATCAAGAGTCATGGGCTCTGACCGAGACAGCCGGGTGCCCAAATTTGGCAATTTCTTAAAAAGTTAAATATACACCTATCACATGATCCCCCCGCCACTGCACTCCTATGTATTTATTTACCCAAGAAAAGTGAATCCTATGTCTATACAAAGATCTCTACACAAATGTCCATTTATTCGTAATGTCCCAAACATGTCAGTAAGCCTGGTGACCAGAGTGGGGATGAGGATTGTAAAGGGATATGAAGAAACTCTTAGGAGCCATGCACCTGGTCACTGTCAACTGTGGTAAAAATTTACGGATATATACATATGTTAAACTTTGTCAGACTGTATACGTTGAATACGTGCTATTTATTCATAACCCCTGAAACAGGAGAATGGTGGACCCCAGGTCCTGCAGCACAAGAGAAATGGAGAGAGGCTGTTGGTACAGCCTGTCATGTACAAACCTTTCATGGTAAAAACTTTCAATCATAAAATGAGTAAGGTCTGGAGATCTAATGTACAACATGGTGATTATAGTTAACAATACTGTATTATATACTTCAAAGTTACTAAGAAAATAGATATTAAAACATTCTGGCCAGGGTCCGGGGACTGAGCCCCACAATGGGCTCCCTTGCTTAGCAGGGAGTTTGCTTCTCCCTCTCCCTCTGTCCACTCCTGACTTGTGTGCATGTACATATGCACTCTAATAAATGAAAAATAAAATTTAAAAGAATAAAAGACTGAAACACCTGAGTAATATCAGGAGGCATTGGTGGTGTATTTTAACTTTCTGGCTTTACTAATACATAGAACTAAAAGGAATTATCCCAGTAGGCACATCTCAAAAATCCAAACACAGGACAGAAAACCAACACAATGTGATTATCAGAGGCGTAATTAGGAACTGCGGCTCAGATGATAATTCGAAGGTGAACAGAGGTCCACACTGGGCCTCATGAACCTGTCCCCACCCAACTACGTCAGGATTATATATCTGATGAGGCCCACTTCTATTTGAATATTATTTGGTGCAAATTCATAATAACTTTATATGGTCAAGAACATCCTCAAATGATTACTAAGATGAGAAACTGCATGTTTTTTAAATCTCCATTTATTTAAAAAAAAAAAAACCTTCACCATCAGATCTCATAAAATCTAACAAAACTCTTATTTTTCTTAAAATTAAAAACTTTCTGATAGCTGTTTAATACCAAGTTAATTTTTACTTTTAAAAGTAGTGTCAGGGGCGCCTGGGTGGCTCAGTGGATTAAAGCCTCTGCCTTCAGCTCAGGTCATGATCCCAGGGTCCTGGGATCGAGCCCCGCATCGGGCTCTCTGCTTAGCAGGGAGCCTGCTTCCTCCTCTCTCCTCTCTCTCTCTCTCTGCCTGCCTCTCTGCCTACTTGTGATCTCTGTCTGTAAAATAAATAAAAAAAATCTTTAAACAAAAAAAGTAGTGTCAGGTTTCAGTCATATGTGGAATATAAGGAAGAGAGCAGAGGACAACAGGGGAAGGGAGGGAAAACTAAATCAGAAGAAATCAGAGAGGGAGACAAACCATGAGAGACACTTAATTCCAGTAAACAAAAGGTTGTGGAAAGGGAGGTGTCAGGGATATGGGGCAACTGGGTGAGGGGCACTAAGGAGGGCATGTGATGTAATGAGCATTGGGTGTTATTACACAACTAATAAATCTTATCAAAAACAAAGTACTATAAGTTGGCTAATTGAATTTAAATAAGTAAGTAAATAAATAAGTAGTGCCAAGGGTGCCTGGCTGACTCAGTCAATAGAGCACATGACTCTTGATTTTGGGGTTGTAAATTCAAGCCCCACATTGGTTGTCAACTACTTAAAATCTCAAAAAAAATATTTTTTTTTAAAGGGAGCTCCAAGGAAAATTAGGAACAGCAACCATTGCAAAAAGCAAAAAAAAAGAAAAAGGGGGGGGGGGGGGAACGGGGGGTTTTCAAAAAAAACCAAGGAATTAAATGTCCTCAGGAAAACATCAGTAAGTAGACATGACATTACTGCACTAACCCAGAAGTCCTATCTTCTTCAACAAAATGAGAGATTATCCCAAATTTTTTAAAGAAGGTTATTTATAATTTGCCCAGTCACAAAAATATTCAGACTGTTCTACTTCTAAACAAGCAAAGAGGAGGTTCTATCATATAATGCTCTTAAATTTTTCTCATAAAGATCGGTTTTTTAGGCAGGCTCAATTCTTCATTACCAGTCAAGGTAAATCTAATACTAAATACAATAAAGTAAGACTCACATTCATCACTTGTATTAACCATACAAGTTGACACATTCTTTCAAGGCAATGCTACCTCCCAGATCCAAAAGACTACATACCAGACATTGAGTAACCGGTCGTGTACTGCTCCAGACAAGAAATAAAGACCAGTGATTCCATCAAAGGGCTGGCTCTCATTAGGAGGTCTGATAGTAGTGAAGATGAGTGTTGAAACTGGCGTTGCATGGCCTGTGAAGTGCTGGAGAAAGTTAAATCTCATTTAGGAGAGGGCACATTGCAGTAAAAAAATTAAAGAGTCCATGTGGACCATAAGCAATATGTATGATCCATATCCGAAATCAGAACTCCAGATAAAGGTAACAGTTAAATTTAATTCTGAGCAACTGAGGCTATTTGTGCTACATTCCTCTCACTTTTAAAAACTCCATCTGAAAATACTGAAAAATCACAATGTCTTTCTCTTAGGGTCCTACCCACAATCTTTCTTTCTTCCATTTTTACATTAAAGATCCACTTAATTCCATCCATATTTAAAGGGGTGCCTGGGTGCTCAGACACAGCCAAGGAATTGTAGGTCCTCATTTTACTCTCAGTGAGTCGAAACCACAATTTTAGGGCATCATCACAGCACCAAAAGTACACCCCTGAGCACACTCAAAACATAACACTACATATCCGCAGTCAAATACTATAAATGTACTACATGCTGGAGGTAAGCTAGAAACCAAAACTATTATCATTACACAGCAGAATAAAAGATTTTTAATTCAAATTCTACTTATTTGTTCTACTCAAATGCACGGGAAATGAACACATCTAACTTATTTAGTACCAACAAACCAGGTTTGGAGACTAACTTTTATCTACTGATTCTATTACTTGATATGCCTGAAAACAAATCTGTATTCTTAAAACAATATGCTACAGTTCAGACTTACTGCCCTGATCCATACTTACTCTAGATGACTGTTAGGTTTACAACTAATTTGATTCACTCACTCTGTAGATTTCTTTGGTCTCCAAAACCCACAGTTTGATTGTTCGACCAGCTGAAAGCAACATCTTTCCATCTGGGCTGATACACAGGGAGCTGACACTGCTATTGTCGCCTTTCCATTTGCTGTTTTGTGAAGAGAAACAAAACGTCTCAATGAATAGGGAGAAAACTTTACTGAGAGCAAAAGGATAGCAAAAAGCAAATCAGGCATTAAAAATATCACTTAAGGTTCTATGCCACATTGCATTCCTTAAAAGCCTGTGTCAAGTGACTAACTGTGGGCACTAAGGTAAAGCCTGCCCAATAAAACAGAGATTCTCAAGAGGTTCCAGAAAATGGAAGAGTAAGAGTTTTAAGAATGTAAAATGGGCAGTTGTGTGTCCTGTGAGGTATACGTACATCTACCACATATCTACATATGACGTAGATTTTAATACCCCGGGAACTATCAGGCTGTGTACCAGGACCACCACAAGTCCATTTCATCCCTTTGGAAAGGACTTCCAAAGCAGTTACAAACCTCAAATCATAATGGCAAAAATAACCTGATTTAAATAAATAAAACTTCTGTACCACAAAATAAGTTATAAATTTAAAAGCAAAAGGCTAAGGGCACCTGCATGGCTCAGTTGGTTTAGTGTCTGCCTTTGGCTCAGTTCATGATCTCAGGATCCTGGTATCAAGCCCCGCATCAGGCTCCCTGATCAGCAGGAAATATGCTTCTCTCTCTTTCTCTCCCCCTCCTGCTCTACCCCCTTGAGCTCTCTATCTCAAATAAATAAAATCTTTAAAAGTCAGTAAATAAAAACAAAAAACTTTCTAGCAAATGGCTAGAAAATACCAAAAATATATCCTTTAAGAAAAGAATATTCAGAACACATAAACTCTATATTCAAGAACTAGCTCAAGTTAAAAAAAACTCAAAATAAAAAAACACAAAAGATATAAACAGGCAATTCATACAAGAAATTCAAATTGTCAATAAACATGAAAACACTCAACCTCACTAGTAATCAAGGAGATGCAGCAAAAGCGTAGACCTTTTCCCTTACCCTTTCCAGCTCCTAACACTTTTGACAATTTCTCATCAATTCCCAGAGCTTCTACATTTTATATTCCCTATTCCACATCTATTCACTTAACATATATATTTAAAAAAAAAAAAGACAGGATCACCACTTGACAAGCTTCCCTGAATCCACCTCCCCAGTCAACACTAAAATGCCGGGACAGAACTAACACCACTGCCACAGCTCCCTCCTATCCCCCATTCAAAACTGTGCAATTTACAGTGTAACCTCCTACACTGGCATCACCTGGAGACTTACTAGACTTCCAATTCCCAAACCCCAACTGCACCTACTGAATCAGCTCTATCTGCACAAGTAATTCACATGCACACCAGAGCATGAGAAGCTCTAAATTAAAAGATTCCTCTCTAGGAAATATGACTGGTGCCAAAGTAAAAACCCACACATACTGACATTTGAAGGCTTCCCCATCATTCTACAAATGAAGCTCAGCAACTGAGCCACCCACCCACACGGGCCTTCCAATCAGCTTTTTAATGTTTCATTTTCAAATAGTGACAGGCAGCCATCCTCAGTCATTCGAAGAATGCCTTAAACAAAAGACAGAGGCTAAAATCAAATAAAAATCAAAACACAAAAACAAAAACAAAAAACAAGAGGGAGATGATATAAGGAATAAAAGAAAAATACTTTAAATCCTATAATTATTATCTTCAAAGAGTTAGAAAATATTATATCCACGAAAGAAACATGGTGCAATAAAAAGAAAACGGAGAACAAAAACAAAGTACCCAGAAGTTAAAAATATGGTTAGAGAAATTTAAAAATTCCCTAGATTTGGAAGATGAAACTGAGGCCATCTTCCCAGTAACAAAAGAAAAGGACAAAAGGGAAAATAGGAGGGAATAAACTTAAGGGATTAGCCCAGGATAAAACATCTAAGTAACAAAAGGGTGCACTTAGAGAAAGATCAAAGACAACAGAGGGGTGAAATGGTCAAACACATACTAAAATAAAAAGAACACAAACTCCCGGGCTAAATGGTCCCTTGAGTGCCAATGTAACTCACTGACTAAACATAAGGACAACTAGTACTGACAGCTAAAAACCAATGAACCAAAAACAAATAAAAAAATAAAAATAAACCAATAAACCAATGCTTCAAAATCCTGAGGGAGAATTATTTCCAAACTATAATTATCTTCAAACTATAAATCAACCATGAGGATACAATAACGGTGCTGGTAGACAAGCAAAATCTCACGAAATTTACCATCTGCATACTTTTCTTAGGAAACTACTGATTGGTGTGTCTTACAAAAAAGAGGAGAGTAACCTAATAAAGAGAAAAATGGGATCCAAGTAATAGAGGCTCCATCTGACAAGAGAATTTTCAGGATGATAATGAAAGAATGTCCCAGGATCATCACTGTTCAGCAGATCCTGGAGGAAAGCGAAGTCCTCCAAGAAACAGATGAAACTGGAGGGAAGCTGTCAAGAAACAAATGTAACCGATTAACGGATGTGCCCCAAAATAACATGTTACTGTGAGAGTGGAGCTAATGATAAGTATATAGGAAACTAAGCAATGAACAAAAAGTAATTATATACCCCCAAGAAAATAAGAGTTTTATGCCCAGAAATAATATAAACCTGGTAGAGTACAAGGCTCATCTATAATAATATTTAATGCAAACAATGACTAGCCTGTCATCAAAAACTGTAATGTACCAATACTCGGAGAACAGAGAGGGGAGAGGCTAGAGGCCGAGAGCTAAATCCTCATCTTCCACAGCAGGAAGTCAACACATAGTACCTAAGATGGAACACAGACTCCATTGACAGCAGCATAAGAGTAACAAGAATGAAGCTGGGAACACAATACCGTATGGGACCGTACTGTGGATGAGCGCTCAGGCTCGGATCCAACCTATTTCTCAACTGTAGAGCCCACCACACAGCGTGACAATTAAATCCAACACTGTGTACAAAGTGAACAGAGCCTTGAACACTGGTAGCCCCTAGGTGAAGGACCTGACATTATGAACTCTCATCCAGACAGCATTTTAAAAATACAGTTCTAAGGGCCCCACCCCAGACCCAGTGGGGGAAAATCTGCACAAATGTCTCTGACAGTCATCAGTGGGAAACTACTGCCACAGGTAAACGGAGACACACACTTACTGAAACTCTAAGCAGATGACCTGCTCATCCACATTTCCTGCCCCAAACCCCCTTCAAATTCTAAGCCTCTATCACCACCCCATCGGCTGGGTCTTGCCTTTCATGTATTATTTCAAATTCAACTTCTCTGAAAACTCAAAACCATTTTGTTCTGACCTGTAACTCTATTCACCTAGGAAGTTCACAAAGCTGAAAATCAAGAGCTACATTTAACTTATTTCTGTTACTTAATACCCCCTTCCATGCTACTCAAATGTTCTTAGTTGGTATCTTCATTCTCACTTCCTACTCTTATCATCCCACACTTGAACTACTACAACCACCTGGAACCTGGCCTCTGTGCCTTGTTTTGTTTTGTTTAATGACTTCTCTGCCTTTGAATCCGCTCCTTTCCATTTACTGTACACAATACTGGCAGAGCACCTTTTCCTAAAGCATTATCTTGGTGACTTTATTCCCAAGACATCACCTTCAGTGGTGCTCTCCCGCTTATGACATAGAATCTAAAACTCCAAGAAAACAGTTTTAATGCAGTAGAAAAACACTGTACCAGAATTCAAGATAGTATGAAAGAACTTCTTCCCTGGCACTTATTAGCTGTAAGACCATGAGTATCATTATCCTTCCTAATATCATTATCCTATCCTTCCTATCCATCCTCATCTGCCTAAGTTGAACCAATTCAACATTCACTGAACAACCACTATAAAGCTTATCACAGGATTAAGTGCTTGAACCAGAAGAGTAGTCTGAGATTTTTATCTATGACAGTTAAGGCCAGACTCTTAAAATACTTTGGTCCATATCCTCTACCAGCCATTATTCCCTAGTATGTAAATCCTCCAAATATTTTACTTCCCTTTCTCCTAGCCTTTAGTCTTGTCATCTCCCCACCACCTTTCCCCCACTCAAAAGGATTCTCCCACCCTCTTTATCCAAATCTTACCTCTCCTAGAAGGCCCAACTGAAATCTCTTTTCTTCCACCAGGCCTTGCCAATGCTATCCAACTCATTCGACCAGTACTCGCATGCTATCTTACGGTATCTCTTGTGCAATTATTTTACTCTTGTATCATTACTTAACATTCATGTATTAAAATCTTGCATGCCTGATTTGATTAACAATTCCTTGAAAAGTCTATAACCTCTTTAGTATCTACATTCCTCTCCATGTCCAGTATCAAACTTGACCTACCGCCAAACAGTCGATTGGTCCAACTCTAATGCGTTTCCAACAATAACCAAGTTACCCCTCCAGTACCATGGAACCCTCAATATTACTCACCACTTTACTTTGCATGTCTGTGTATTCCATTCCACAATATATTTATCATCTGAACAACTATACAAACAGCCATTGTCTTGATGCCACTGTATGCAATTAACCTTGTTGTCATGTCCACCACTCTACAGATTTAAAAAAAAAAAAAAAGATTAAAAGAAAAAAAACAGCCTGATATAACATAATTACACATCCCAGAATCATTACTAACAGTTAACAAAAAAGTCAGGCTTTAACCTAACTAAAACCACCCTAACCTACATCTATCCATTTCTAATATCAAAACTGAAATAAATCATCTATAAGTTCATCAAATGTTAACTTTCTCTTCTCTGCCGAAAAAATACACTTCCACATCACAAGTCAAAGGATGCTAGTTTTGTTTGTTTGTTTTTTAATGATTTTATTTATTTATTTGACAGAGAGAGAGAGAGAGACACTCATGAGGGAGGGAACATAGGCAGGGGACTGGGAGAGAAGCAGGCCTCCCACTGAGCAGGGAGCCCAGTGTGGAGCTCTATCCCAGATGACTTGAACCAAAGGCAGCCTCTTATCAACTAACCCACCCAGGTGCCTCAAAGGATGCTAATTCTAAATGCCACTTGCTTTTGACAGGTATGCCAGCACTAAGATAAGACAGTGGCCAAAGTCTGTGATTTACAATATACTATTACATCTAAATCCCAAAAAAGCATGCAAGGTAGGTTATAGAATACCCATTCAAGAAATGAGAAGTTCAGCTACTTACCCATGACCACATAACTAGCAGTCAACCTCAGGATGGAACCTCGGTTCCAAAGCCTGATCCCCTTCTACTTCACCAATCATAATCCCAACATCCCTTATTCTGATCTTCTTGCTTATTTTTTAATACACTCATTCCCTATTAAAGATTTATGTATAATCCCATGAAGTACCATAATCTAAAAAGGAGTTCTAGGGGCGCCTGGGTGGCTCAGTAACTAAGTGTCCGCCTTTGGCTCGGGTCTTGATCCAAGGATCCTAAGGTCGAGCCCCATATCAGGCTCTCTGCTCCACAGGAAGCCTGCTTCTCCCTCTACCACGCCCCCTGCTCCTGTTCCCTCTCTTGCCATCTGTCAAATTAAAACAAACAAAAAACTTTAAAAAGGAGTTCTAGGTTTCATTAGCATTATGTCCATATCCACAGTAGTTCAGTAAAGCACCTATCACACTGCATGGATTGTAGGCACCTGTTCACCACAAAAGATTGATCAAATCAAAGGATGGGCTCCCAGCTACAGTGGGGTAAAAGCCTGCATGAGGACAACACTTGACTTGGAGAGAAGGGAGGAAATAAGATAAATTCCCTTACTATCTATACTTCTAAATGCTTTAATTCGCTTTACAGTTGTATTTTTATAATATTTAACATGAAAATAAGTAACGTACTCTGAAATGCAGATTTAAAATCAGATAAAATTTTTCATATATCAAATCAACTGGGCTTTTGTTAACGTTATTGCTGTTTTAATGGGTATATCCAATGGTGGAAATAATGCTATTAGAATACAGGTACTCTTTCCATTAGTGACACATAAAATTAGGAAAACTTTCAGAAACTATTTGAATACCATGCATAAAAAGCATTACTCATTAATTACAGGTCAGTAATTTTGGGAATCCATGTAAACAGCAAACAAAATGTGTAACAAAAAACTGGAAGGCTCCTTAATGGTCAGTAATGGTCAGTAATAGCTAAATCACCAAGGGACTATCCAATTTAGTGGACTTTAGGCAGTCATTGAAAATGTTTGTAACAAGTTCTTGACAAATACGAAAACTGCTCATGTTGTAATTTAATGGAAAACATCAGGATACAAAATAGATGAGAATTCAATTAAACATATGCACAATGAAATACACATTCTATTAAACATCTCTTGGTGATATAAGAATAATTTTTCCCCTTTTCAACATTAATGTACTTTCAAATTATCTATGGAAAATGTTACTTAAAACAGAAAACAATGATTCATGTATACAGAAGCATTCCCATACAAAGACAGAAGTTCAGTGAACACCAAACAAGTAATGTAACAGACAATGTCCGAAACAAATTATGCTAAGTTAAGTCACTGCCCTGGAGTGCCAAGCTCTCACTCTGCTCCGTGATGCTGGGGCTAGACTCCACAGATCACACTTCTGCTTTGCCAGCTAGATGGCCAGTAGGCACTGCCAATAAGGGGTGCTAGAGACAGACAAGGCTGGAAGAGGAACGAGGGACTTGTTCCATCCTGTCTCCGAGTGTGCATCAGCCCAGCATTTCTTCGTCCCAGCAGAGCAATCCTTTTGGCAGAAGCTGAACCCAATATGCAACTGTTCCAACACCTGACGAACGAGTCTCCCCTTCCTTCCAGGACACCAGCAATCAGTTAAGAGCTCTGTCCTCAGAGGTCTGGCCCCCAAGCCCATGGGGCCACTCTTCCACAAGGGACCGCAAGCAAAGAGAACATCATCTGCTCCTCAAAGGTTTGCATTTCAGCAGTAATCCCACCTCCCTCATTTGTTCCCTCATTTGTTCCCTAGAGGTGGTGAGCTCTTTCCTGCAGTCAGTTTGTGGTACTTAGAACTCTTTCTACCCTTTATTTTAAATCTAGCCAAGAGTTCTTCATATTCTCACCTGTAACAAGGATTATGTTACCTATTATATTAACAAATATTACTGTTCACAATTTTAAATGCGGGGGCAGAAAAATCCTACAACACTATTCTGTTTTGTTTTTAAATCTCTAATGATCAGTTTCCCCATTTCTTTTATATACAATACACACACACACACACACATTATACTTACTATCAATTTACTGTGTAATTCTCCTTTTACTGTACTGTATAATAAAATACTACCAACTGCTGTACCAATAGCCAACAAGTCAATCTGGTTACTCGTTCCTATAGCTTCTGATTTCCTTTTTTTCCTCTGGGGACTTTCCTGGGGGGGAAAAAAAGGTTCATTTTTTTTGTATTTCAAACACAAGACATCATTAATGCATAAATACAAATGCCCACTAACCCACAAATGAAATGTGACTGCTACCAAAAGACACTTAACTTAAAGATGGCGGGGGCAGGGACAGATAACTCACTCTCAAATGCTTTCTTTTTCACTATTTAGGGGGAAAAAAATCACCCCAATGGAAAAGAAGAGCTTATAGTTCTCTGTCCCTCTCCCCTGCTTCTCTGGAAGGAACGGGACAAACAGGACATGCTCCTGGTATTCTCTTAAATGGTCCAAGCAGTCTCACTGCTGCTTCTACCTCTCAAAAATGAGCCACTTGTGACAGGGCCAAGTGAAGTCTCCATTCCCAAGCAGAGACTACAGATCCATAGCCAAGCAACCAACATTTCCCCTTTTTCCTCCTCATCTCTCCTGTGTTCTAGCTTCGTTCTCAGGAAAGGAGACTCAAACTTGTTTTTATAAACACACATTTATTTCAGTCTCAGTCAAAACACAGTTGGAACTAGTAGAGCACAGTGTAAGTTGCCCTAGTGTGTGAGAATTACGGGTTAGTCTGAAAGTTCCATGCGGTTTTAAGTGATCCTAATCACTTAAGAGGCACAAGTTCCAACCTAGTGTCGAATGCCACAAGACTGCTTTGATTTGCTTCAAAAACGGTACTGAAGCTTACAGTCCAAACACAATCAATGATCACAACTTCAGGGTATTACATCAAAGTTTACAATACTGAAAACATAGAATTTAAGAATTTCTTTACCACATGATGTTTTTTAAATTAAAGCTTGCCAGCCTGTGCTTTAGCATAAAGCTCTGAGATATCCATTCTTTTAACATAAAATTGACCATTACCACAGGAAAAAGAACATTTTCTCATTTGTGCAAGATCTTTGCTCTACAGCACAAAGCAGAAGCCCAGGATATGTAAAACTTTGCCTAATCCAAAACACACCAGTGAATTTATGATGTTACAAGTGTATAAAGAGTATCAAGGAGTAGAGATGCCTGAGTGGCTCAGTCTGTTAAGCGTCTGCCTTTGGCTCAGCATCCTGAGCTGGAGTGTCCCGCACTGGCTCCCTGCTCAGCGGAGCCTGCTTCTCCCTCTGCCTGCTGCTCCCTCTGCTTATGTGTGCTCTCTGACAAATAAACAAAATCTTAAAAAAAAAAAAAAAAAATATATATATATATATATATATATATATATATATATCGGGGTGCCTGGGTGGCTCAGTGGGTTAAAGCCTCTGCTTTCGGCTCAGGTCATGATCCCAGGGTCCTGGGATCGAGCCCCACATCGGGCTCTCTGCTCAGTGGGGAGCCTCCTCTCTGCCTGCCTTTCTGCCTGCTTGTGATCTCTGTCAAATAAATAAATAAATAAAATATTTTTAAAAATAAAAAAAAATATCAACAAGTAGATTTAGAAAGCATTTTCCATTTTGTTTTCATTTATTAATCTTATGGAGATGTTACATTTGAAGAATTTTATTCACTTGACACATTAAGGTCAACAAAAAGTGAAAATATTTAACAAAAAAAATAACTTTTATACAAAGAAAATTACACATTTTGTAAGTCTTAAGAAATATATCTACATTAATAAAACCCAAAGAGAAGTTATGATTAAAAGCCAAAGTATGAGAGGCACCTGGATGGCTCAGTCAGTTAAGTGTCTGCCTTCAGCTCAGGTCATGATTTCAGGGTCCTGGGTTCGAGCCCCACATCGGGCTCTCTGCTCAGCAGGGAGCCTGCTTCCCTTCCTCTCTCTGCCTGCCTCTCTGCCTTCTTGTGATCTCTCTCTGTGTCAAATAAATAAATAAAATCTTAAAAAAAAAAGTATAAAAAAATCCGATGGTCTTATCAGTAACCCTTAATTTCCCTGAAACAGTGAAACCTTAGCACAAGCAATGTCCTAGGTCCCACCTTCAGTTCAATGAATGTCTAATGCCACCTCTGAATGATCCCACAAGGCAGATATGGTTTCAGCACAAGGTTATGAACACAAATGCCCATCTCAGGCAAGGGCAGTAGGGGAATGTGTACCAACCTCTTACTAATTTCACCAGAAAACTCTTCTCTGAAAGATTCTAGAAATTATTTCTCCAACTCCTGGTTTTACCAAATCAAGTTAAAATCATTTCACACTGACATTTCTAACGTGTGAAACATAGGCTGGTGCAAATATGTGTATGCTTTTCTACAGATACAAATGCATCTGTCTTTGGCTCAGGTCATGACCCCAGTCCTGGGATCGAGTCTCTGATCGGGCTCCCTGCTCAGAAGGGAGCACGTTTCTCCCTTTGCCTGTTGCTCCCCCTGCTTATGTGCTCTCTCTCTCTCTCTGACAAATAAATAAATGAAATATTTAAAAAAAAAAAAAAAAAAAGGAGCACAAAAAGGGGCACTTGACTGGCTCAGTGGGAAAAGCACCAACTCTTGATCTTGGGTTATCAATTCAAGCCCCACACTGGCTGTGGAGGTTTCTTAACAAAATTTTGAAAAATTAAAAAATAAAAAGCACTAAGAAACTTCATATATTAATCATTAACATATTCAAACCCTAATTTCCCTATCAACAAGATCTGTGTATTTTGGGAGAAGCAAGCAGAGGCAAGTGGAGGAGCATCCACAGAACTTATGCCCAATTTTGAGGATCAGTGGTCCAAACCTAAATAATAACATAATTAATGCAACTCAAGTAACTACTGACTCAAGCATATTTTTGCAGAGCTGGACCATCTTTTTAAAAATCACTCCCCAGTGAGCAGGATGAGCATGTCTGAACAGGTCACCCAGATAAGTTTATATAAGCAATGTGCATTTTAGTAAAATCTGTTTTAAATATTACCCCTTACCAAGTATTTCTGAAACCAAGAATTTAGTGCTGATATTTACAGATTATGACAGACCTTTGTCAGCATTTTCTTTCAGAATCTGTTGCTCCTGTGATCACAAACTTCAATGACTCCCCAGGGAAGAATAAATCATTGTACTGGCATCTGCAATTTGCCTCCAGACCACCTTTCCCAACTTTATTTCCAATTTCCATCTTTATATTACATTCCCTAATCACTAACATCTTCCCATTTTGCTTCTGCTTTTCTCTCAACTTGGGAACTGCTTATCCCTCAACTTCCTTTTGGTTAAAAATCTATCCATGCTTCAAGGTCCACCCCAACTCTCATCTCTCTACAAAAACCTCTTCTATATTTTTATGTAAAGAGTTTATTTCAGCGAGTGCACGATGCGGAATGGGATTGGCAGAGAGGGAAGCAGAACCCCACTTAGCAGGGAGACCAATGCAGGGCTCTATCCCAGGCCCCTAGGATCATGACCTGAGCTGAAGGCAGATGCTCAACCAACTGAGCCACCCAGCGCCCCCCTTTCTCTTAAGGCACACATCATACCGTGCTCTGCATTACAGACACGGTATATCTGAATTGTCCACTTCTTCTCTGATGTGTCTCAATCACACTGTTTTACTTCCTCTGAAGTACCTAGCACAAGGTTATGTGCACACTCATTATACATCTCATGTAAATACACCAAATAATGAAAAGGGTAGGCTAAAACTTTAGTTCGTATCTGTGACTAAAAACCTGGAGTTCCTAGAGGTATCAGGAGTGAAGACCCCAAAAATGTGATTTCTTTCAAGCGTTTTTTTTTTTTCAGTGTGAAAGTCGGACTAGGCTAAGCAATAAAGAGCAGCACCATGGGGCACCTGGGTGGATCAGTCGTTAACCAGCTGCCTTTGGTTCAGGTCATGATCCCAGGGTCCTGGGATGAAGCCCCGCATCGGGCTCGACTCCCTGCTTGGTGGGAATATTGCTTCTCCCTCTCCCACTGCACTCCCTCTCTCGCTGTATCTCTCTCCAATAAGTAAATAAAATCTTAAAAGGAAAAAAAAAAAAAAAAGTAGCACCAGTCTGAAAAAAGTTTATCAGCATTCGATCCAGAAGGCAATCAGAAGGCTGAATGAGTCTCAAGGGGTCAAGTGCATGATTCACAAAAGCAAGACATAGGGCAGATGTGGTGAAAACAAAGAGGAAAAAGGGAAAGTGCTGAAAAGTCTGAATCTGATCAAGTAAGCAACCACTTTTTAGACTGAGATCCCAAGGAAGAAAAGTTCACATTGAGAGCCAGTATGTACACTCATAAAAATATGTACACATATAACTGAAACCAGCTCCACAAAAAACTTATCCTTTCCATGCAAAATATACTCACTTTTTTTACACTCATTTTTTTTAACTCTATCACAACCCACTAAATCGTTTCATAATGATCAAAACCTAATTTTGAAAAATCCTGACCTCTAGACACTGAAAATTATGCCCAAGTTTCAAGTTTCATTCTGCAAGTTCGTCTCCTATGCCTTTTCTTTTTTTTTTTTTTTTTAAGATTTGATTTATTTGTCAGAGAGAGAGAGAGAGAGAGAGATCACAAGTAGGCCAAGAGGCAGGCAGAAGCAGAGGGAGAAGCAGGCTCCCTGCCGAGCAAGGAGCCTGATGTGGGACTCGATCCCAGGACGCTGGGATCATGACCTGAGCCGAAGGCAGCCGCTTAACCAACTGAGCCACCCAGGCGTCCCTCCTATGCCTTTTCTTGGCCCACCTTACTGTCACTTCTCTGGCAAATGTTTAAGTCATGGGTAACAATGAACAAAATGTGTGCATTTTACATGTAATTACATAATATTTATTATCAAAAACAAATTCTAATAACCAGGACCTTCTATTCCTGCCAACAGGATCTAACCTGCACACTTTTCCTTGTTTTGAAGTCTACATACTGGAGAGACCCTAAGATACAGCAGCGTACATTCAGGAATACAAAGATACTGCACCGTATCTCCAAGGGACAGGAATGGGGATACTCAACTTAGATTCTTCCAAGAAACATTCTTAATGCTACTGAGCTTGCCTTGTCTTGTGTCTGAAATGCCATGTGCTTCGTTTAAAAAGAACTAAGCTGTGTGAGATCATTTTAATTGCAGTGACAGCAAAGCAGCATGGTAGCTGAGAGGAGACAAAGTCTGTTTCTTCAGGGCTATACACCAGCTAGGGAAGGAAAGTAGAAAAGTTTTGAGAGATTTTAGGGGGCAACAAAATAGGTTCAGTTACTAGGTGGGGCTCAGGCACTTATTTTGTGGCTTTGGCATATCATTTAACAGCTCAGCTTCAGTTTACACACACACACCTGAGAAGCTTTAAAAACAGCATCCATCTATAGTCCACCCATGTGTCTCCTTGCACTTTTCTTATCATTTGAAGTCCTCTTCCCCCCCAGGCTCCATCAACCAAATGAAATACTCAGCTATTTAATATGTACAAAAACCCTCCAAAAACTACTGTGGCATAAATGTGAGGTATTATGATCATTCTTGGCCAAGAAAACAATATGATTTTTCTAAACATCCAGGAACCTCTACTTTAACTCTTATTACCCAAGTAACCCAGCACTAATTCATTTTATTCCACTCACAGGAGTAATGTTCACCAAACTTTGTCCTTGGGTGGCAAACTGTCAATTACTGAAGCAGATACAGAATACTCTTACAAAATGATTTACACTGAGGAATGTAGCAGTAAATTATAAAAAGAGCCCAAAGAGCATGCTCATGGTATCATTCAATAATAACACCTAACATTTACTACGCACTTACTACACCAGTCATATATACTGCCTCATTTAATTCTCAAAGGACCATGAAAGGTGGGTAGCATAATCTCTACTTCATGTTTGAGTAACAAAAATCTTAAATTGTTGGGAACACAGGGAACACAGGAATAACATCCTTACCAAGACTCATACTCTAATCCTCAAAGATTTAAAATAAATAAGTTTAATAAAATGAGGGCATCTTAAAACTTCAGTGGCAAGGATCCCAACCCAGGGACCTGGGACCAGAGACTGAAGCAGTTGCTACACGTCGCTCTTCATTTTCTAGCTTTTAAAAAAAATCACGTGACTTTATAATTTTATCCTGTAATAAATGTGCACATTTAAGAGAACCACTTCTCTGGGGCGCCTGGGTGGCTCAGTGGGTTAATCCGCTGCCTTCAGCTCAGGTCGTGATCCCAGGGTCCTGGGATCAAGTCCCGCGTCGGGCTCTCTGCTCTGACGGGGAGCCTGCTTCCCCCCCCCTCTCTCTGCCTACTAGTGCTGTCAAAAAAAAAAAAAAGAGAACCACTTCTCCCTCTAATCTTCAAGTAAAATTGATGCTCTAGAAGGATATATCCCCAATATGATGAGGATCAAATGTCCTCTCTACATTCCTCCCAGCTCTCAATTCTGTGACTCAAGATCTAGGGTTACGGTATAAGAACAGTGGACCAGGAGTCCGAGGACCTTGATTCTAATGGTCCCAGTCTCTTTACTGGTTACTAAAAATTTGGTGAAGTCACCTCGAACTTCCTTAGCTCTGACTCTCAGTTTTTAAACATTTTATTTCAGGACATTTCATAGAGCTGTGTGGCTAAAATGAAAACATGCAGCTAAAAGAATACTGAACATATACAAACTTTTTTTAAGTAGCCAAATTCTCATTTTTCAATGAGGCCCTCCAAATTAGTAACTTGCTCATTGTGACAAAAGCAAGTTTGAGTTGAGTCCTGGATATGAAACCAAATCCAGATATTTTTCTACTATTTCAGAGTGGTATACATAATCCAAAACTCTGACTTTCAACAGGAAATTTAAGATTAGGTCAAAGTTTTATTCCTGAGGCATATCATGTGACCTAAGTCAACAGAAAAGCAAAGGGGGAGGGGGCAACAAATTTTTACTATCCCAATATTAATTATTATTTGTTGTAGATAACAGAGCACAAAGCTCTAAATACTTGAGTTCTAGTCCTGGTTCTATTTCTGGTTTTTATGCAAGCTGACTAATTTTCCAGAGTCTCAGTTTCTTCTTCACAAACAAGGCAAGAAGTTAGCCTTTATCTACCTGCAAGGACTAACCATACAAATCTGAGATACTAATAACAACACTTGCAGCACTTACATACACTAATAAATGTTTCTACGTTACTAACCACGTTCACCTTCACAACTACTCTGAGGTGGGTACTATCACCCCTCCCTGTTCTGCAAACAATCTTTGCTCCACGTATTTCCCCAGCATCAGTCTTAACATCTCTTTACAGGACTGTTAAATAGAAACACAGAAAACAATTTTAAAAAAGAAAAATACGTAGACTGCTGTAACTTTAACAATGGCTATGGTTTTGTTTTTTCCCCCGAAGTCCAAGTTCGCCTTGACTTAAGAGCCCTGATAAAGGTTTCTTTTATTAACTAAAGTCACTTCATCTAGAAACTAAGAAACTCTATCTTAAGATCCGAAAAATACCTAAACATACTCACCCAAAGCATAGTTAGATGTACCCCTACTTTCAACCTAAAAATTTAGCACACATTTACCGCACACTAGTCGGATGGGAGTTAAAAATCTGTCTTGAATAATAGCTTTTGAAGTTTTACACATAGTGTCAGCTAAACACTCAAGATACCTGTTCTTCCAAATCACATTAGACTGATTCGATTGCCTACCCTATACCTGTAGTACCCACGTGCAACTGCGTTAGAGCAGACGTAGTCGAGTGAATCCACAGTGAATGACATCTTACCTGAGATGGGGCCCTAACAGAAAAGCCTTCCCTAACACGGCAATGTCCTGTCTCAGAGAAACTTCACCTGAATTCACATTCATCACATTAAACCGGCTACTTCACTTTACCTCCACATCCTAATGCAGACTTCAGACTTGGCTAAAAGGGGGTGTATAAAAGGGAACTGAGCAGAGGTTTAAAAAAAAAAAAAAGTATAAAGTTTCAAATGACTGAGAATGGAAACGAGCCTGAGAAAGTCAAGAGTTTCAAGAGTGAGAATACCACACACTGGACGTGGAAGAGAACACGTGGTGAGCCTGCACCCAAAGGTTCGGGGGTGGGGGGGGGGGGTTGTCCGGAAACAAGGAAACAGACTTATTCATTCCAATCTCCTAAGGCAAAGCCGATGAGCTAGAGAAATCGGAATAGGGTACTCCAGCCCCAAGAAGGGGCTCTGTCAAAATCCAGGACGCTGAAGAGCACATGTTGCTGCGCCAGGCTTCGCAGAAAGAAGCCGCCCTGGGAAGCTGGGGGCCTACGCGAACATGGCGGCCCCGGCGACAGCGGGGCGCGGGGCGCAGACCGCATGGAGCCAGTCAGGAGGGCTCCAGCCTACGGCCGGTCCAACAGGGCCGCGCCCTCTTTCGCTACTCTGCGGACAGGCCGCACGCGGGACTGGCGAAGTGGACCGAGTCCGCGCCGCCGCCGCCGCACTCCGTGCCTCCTCACCCCGGGCCTCGGAGGGCCGCGCGAGATGCCGGGCCACGCGCCGTCTGACCGGGGGTGCGCTGAGTCCGAGTCCGGGCGCACGCCCGCCCCCCGCCGTCCCGCCTGCTTTACCTTGGCCTGCAGTCGCGCTGGCGCCCAGGCCAGGCAGGTGCAGGTACCGCTGAGGTGCGCGGAAGGCACGTACTCTTGGTGCAGCCTATTGTTGGCGGTCTCCCACACTCGCAACTGACCGTCGGCAGACGCCAAAGCGAAGTAGGCCTGGTTCAGCGGGGAGAAGGCGCACGGAACCCCTGCCGGGGACAGGGGGTCGGCAACACCACGGCCACCCGCCGCCATTGCTGCCCTGGCTCCGCGGCAGCCACGTGTTCGTCTGTGCGCATGCGCACCGGCGTGGGGCGGGGCCTAGAGGGAGGAAGTGGGGCGGAGGGAGAGCAGAGACCCGAAGGAGAGGCTCGTCGCGTCTCTAGCGGGCGTCGGGCTGGCCCAACCTGCGGACGGTGGCCCGGAGGGCTCAGTGCTAATTTGTACTGGTTGGAGGAGGAGACGTGTGGAGGGATGTGACTGCAGACTGGAGAGCAGGCCCGTTACTTTGAAAAAAGAAACAGAAAAAAAGAAGAGAAATAAAGAAAGAAAAAGGTTGGGTTAGAAATAAAGAAAAAGGTTGGGCTTTGTTTTGTTTTGTTTTTTAATAACATGATTGAACTAAATGTTTAAGAGACAATCACTTACAGCGCCGTGATTGTGGCAACTGTTTACATTTTTCTTAACCACTTCTAGGCTGTAATCATGTATACATATGACAATTTATTCAGTCATAGTAGTGTGAGAGTAACGGTGGGGTCTACTGTCCTCCCACCCCGCATTTCGTCAGGATTAATCCCGTTACTACATCAAATAGATAATTTGTACGCCATATTTCACCAAATCTATGCATTGTGATTCAAGAAGTGTCAGATTAATAATATTCTGCCTGCAGTTTATTGCCCAGCAAGAAAGACAAAAAACTCCACCCTCAGGGATATGGGTAGACTAAAACTTTTACAGCCAGGGAGTGCCACGGTAACATTTGTGTTTTAGATTATTTGTAATGACAAACATGTACATGTTTAAAAGGCCTCCTGGACTCCACGGAGATGGTAAAGAGGCAAGAAGGAAAACTGACACAATATAGGACAGTGCTGGGTCAGACTCAGATGAAAGCAGTAAAGGTGGGGAGAAGCACCCAGGTTTCAGATAGAATCTGAAGTTAAAAGTCAACAGGGCTTGCTAAATGATTGCAAAGGGTGAGAAAAAGACAAGTGAAGGATGACTCCAAGGCCTGAGCAAACTCATGAATGGTGATACCATCAGCTAGATTGGGGAAATGGGTTTGGTTGGAGTGAAAATCAAGAATACTGTTTTGGACAGTTAAGTATGAGTATGCTGAAATCCATGTCAAGTGAGGGAGCTGGGGGCAGCCTGTGCGACCACCCCTCCCTCAGGACCCTCACTGGCCCCTACTGGCTATGGGCTCCCTTGCTCCCCAGAGTGGTGGGGGCTGGGACCGTGAAGGGAGGGGGCAGGTGACAGTGAGGTCCTGGGAGACTGGAGTTGGCTACAGAAGATCACAAAGATGTAAATTTGGATGCACTAGCATACAGATGCTATTTGAAATTACGGGACTAGCCAGATCGTGTTGGATGCAAGTATAGATAGAAAAGAAAGCTTAGCCCCAAACTGTGCAATCTTTAGAGGTCAGGAGGAGGGGAAGATCCAGCAAAGAAGATTAAAAATGGGTAGGATGAAAGCCCAGGAGAGTGAGATGTCCTGGAAACCAAATCTTTATAAGGATTCAGGAAGGAAAACTTGATCAAAGCCATGTCAAATGCTGTAAGATGAAGACTGAGCATGAACCAGGATTTGGCAACATCAAGGTCATTGGTGACTCTTCAAAAGCACTTTAGGGGCACCTGACTGCCTCAGAAGGCAGAGCATACAACTCTTAAACTCGGGTTATAAATTCAAGCCCCACACTGGGTATGGAGATTATTTAAAAATAAAATCTTAACACACAAAAAGCAAAACAAAAGCATTTGGGGTGGGGGACTTACTATGGAAAGTGGAAGAGAAAAGGGGATGTGAGAAAGTAGAGAAAAGGGATTTTCAGAAAAGTTTTCAAGGATTTCTGTTACAATGGAGCATATATGAGTCTGTATGAAGAAAAGTCTGAGCTAGAGTTATAAAGTAGTCATAAATAAAATAAAAGCTTATTGCACTCACGGTGTGTCCAGTACTGTTCTCTGTGTTTTATGTCCATTAATCCATTTAGTCCTCACAATAGCCCTAGGATGTAGAAACTATGACTATCTCCGTTCTTCAGATCACAAAACTGAGGTATAGACCTGAGCAGTGGAGGAGGAGCTGGATTTCTAACCAAAGACATCTCTGGGTATGAACAACTTGACCCAATGAAACTATACAGAGTTCACGTAGATGACCCTTCAATACCCAGAATGTCATTCCTTGACCTCCTTCCTTTCAATGATCTTGGCCTCTACCCTACACCAGCCACTTATTCCCATGGTCCTATCTCAGACCTTATCATTACAATAGCTGCACTCCCTTCATAGTCTCAGTTTTCCCACGCCACTATAACCACTGACTCCTATCTTTCCAGCTTGCTCCCGCCAACTTCCAGGCTCCAGGCAATCCTTCTATCCCACCCAACTGTCAAACCATTGATCCTAGTCTTTTCTCCTACCCTCCCCCTCCTCCTTGATGGCTGCTCTTGCCTCTAAATTTATCTTAATCTCGATCATTACAACCCTCAAATCCCTTGCCTCTTTCCCACATCATTGTCCTTCTGCGGTAAAAGTGCAAGCCTGGTCAAATCTCTCTGCCCAGAAGCAGCTGAAAGCAATGAGAGAAAAGTCACAGCTTCCTATTATGACTCTTACCTACTCTAAATTCATGGTCACAAACTTCATGTGGAAGTCAATGCTGCCAAGTTATCAGTTGTTTCCTGGCCCATTCATACTTCCATTCTTCTCCTAGATATTGATTCATATCTCTTTTCCTACCACTTCAAACCTATCCCTCTCTCCCTGCTCTCAGTGAATGACTGTGCTTCCTATTTCTTGAGAAAATAGAAGCCATCCCAAGAGAACTTCCACAAGCTTCCAGTACCATGAACTCTAACCAAACTGTACTCTGTCACTCCTGCCACTCCAGATGGATTTTCCATGCCCCTAGAAAAGGTGACCCTTCCACATAAGTTTTAGATCCCATTATTCCAAAAAGTCTTTCCTCTATCTACAAGTATCAATTTTACTTCTCAGCTTAATCCTTCTCATTAACATATAAACATACTGGTTTTTTTCTTTCTTCCTAAAAAATAATATTTCCTTTATCTTACTTCCCCCTATAGTCACTCTCCCAATCTTTTCCTTCCTTAAAAAAAAAAGGTAGTCTAATTTTCTTTTTTTTAAAGATTTTATTTATTTGACAGAGAAAGAGAGAGCACATGCATAAGTAGGCAGAGCAGTAGGCAGAGGGAGAAGGAGAAGCAGAGAGTCCAAACCTAGGCTTGATCCCAGGACCTTGGGATCATGACCTGAGCTGAAGACAGACACATGACCCGCTGAGCCACGCTGGCACCCCAGTAGTCTAATTTTCTTAATCTCTCTCCTCCAATGGGACTTTCATCCCAACCCACCACTACCCCCAAATTCCCAGTAGGGCCACCTCTAACCTCCATATTGCTAAATATGTGTCCATTCTAAGTCTGCCTCTCATGTGACTTGTCATTAGCATGCCTGCCTTCCATGACTTCACACCTTTCTGGCTTGCCTCTTATTTCTCTGGCTCTTCTTCTCAGGTCTTCTCTCTTGGTTCTTCCTTATCTCTTACTCTTTAACATCAGAGTGCCTTAGTAACTTCTTTACTTGGGCAAGGGACTTTCCAGAATGAAGACTATACATTTTCCAGCTTTCTCTACAAATTGTGAGGCCATATGACTAGCAGCCAGTACAAAAATGTCTTTTTTAAAGGTATGCTATTCTTCATTGCTTTTTTCTTCTTAATTCCTGGAACTCAAATGTTATGGCCAATAGCTAGAGCATCCATGATGGATTTTGAGGAGAAAACAACATGGTGAGAATAGCAGAGCAGCAAGACAGAAGGAACTAGAGACCCTGAAACATGATATAAGTCCTGCACCAATGCCTCGGACCTCTTTTATACAAGAGAAAATAAACATCCCTGTTGTTTAAACTACAGTATTTTGGGTAATGTTACATACAGCTGAACCAAACTGTGCTCATTATTTTATAAACTTTGCCTCAGTTGGTGATCCCACCAGTCATCCAGTTAGTCCCTTGAGAAAGCCAGAAATAAGCCCTGTTTATTAACCAATCCCATATCTCACTTCTGCCCAAACACATAACTCACATCTGATCAATCACCAGATTCTGTTTTTATCTCTTAAATAATTCTCTATTCAATTTCCTCACCTCCATCAATTCTAACCACGTCTGTTCTTATTGTGCCTTGTCATTCTCACTGGAACTGTCACCAATGCTTGTATTGGACTCCCTTTCTCCATGCCAGTCTGGTGGTATGATCTTTGTAAAATATTTTTTTTAAAGATTTTATTTATTTATTTGACAGAGAGATCACAAGCAGGCAGAGAGGCAGGCAGAGAGAGAGGAGGAAGCAGGCTCCCCGCTGAGCAGAGAGCCCGATGCGGGGCTCAATCCCAGGACTCCGAGATCATGACCTGAGCTGAAGGCAGCGGCTTAACCCACTGAGCCACCCAGGCGCCCCGATCTTTGTAAAATATTAATCTAACCACTCCACTTCTCTACTTAAAATCCTTCACAGGGGCACCTAGCTGGTGCAGTTGGTTAAGTGTACAACTCTTGGTTTCAGCTCAGGTCCTGATCTCAGAGTCCTGAGATCATGCCCACATTGGACTCCATGCTCAGTGAGGAGTCTGCTTAAGACTGTCTCTTCCTCTGCCCCTCCCTGCCATGCTCTCACTCTCTCTCTAAAATAAATAAGTATTTAAAAAAAAAACTTCACAATCTTGCTGGCACCTATAAAAGAAACTCTATGCTGTTTAATATATTTGGATTACAAAACAATCTGTAAGCTGGTGCCTGTCAGCTCCCCAACAACATCACTATTAGACCCTCATCTGCTCCTGGTTTCCTGCCCTTATCATCCCTGTCATGGGTCCTGCTCTTTTGCATGATTTAGGCTCACCCAAGTCCCTCTCTGCCCCAATTCCAGCTCTCATCAAACTTACTAACAATTCAACTTTTTATTGTTGTAGATAAAATTGTAGATAAAAACCAATGATTTTTATCCTAAAAGGTGTTAGCTATTACGATCTCTAATC